TATTTTTAAGTATCTTTACTTTTAGAGTTAAAAAATTTTACTCCACACTTTCTTTGTGCTGTCACCCTGAAATACATTTTGTGATACTCAATACTGAATCAAATTAATTGGGATTCATCAATCACTGAACATAGCCCATAGTAATATTTGGATCATATCACCAGGAGTAAAAGAAAAGCTTAAAGAATGGTATGAAGAATATACAATCTGTTCATCATACTTACTTTTTTTAATTTGTTCGGGGTTTTTTTCTAGGTTACTAGTTTCCTTATTTTGCCCTATAGAAGACAAACAGTACTCTGACGCCACAGTCTACACAGAATTAAAAGCAATCACTTTCATTTAGGTCAGAGAAGGGGCCTGGTGCATGGGCACTGCTACCAGACCCACCACTGGAATGAATTCTGGGTCTAATTTTTAATAGCTTTTTTTCCTAGCATTTTGAAAGGGATACACAGCACAAAAGCTGCAGCATAAGATGCCATGTTTTTAACAAAGTGGTACTCCTAAGGTACTGGAAGAAAGGCCAAGAAAAGCTCAAACAGTGCAGCAGAGTAAGAAGGAAAAAACTTTTACTCCTAGATGAAGAAGATTAGATGTATGCAAATGTCTGGGCAAAGTTCAGGAGTTATTAAGGGGGAGCGAAATAAAATAGGACAAATCCAGTTTCCTTCTGACAGCCTAGAGAGAAATGCTTTGCAAGACCTTGGACGCACTTTCACTGCATATACCCCTCACTCCTTGCTTCACCAGTCTGTAGTGCTTTCTTAAGTGTAAGACAAAGGGCAGGAAACGGATTTTTCATCAAGTTTTTCCTTTCCCACAGCTTCTTTTGGCTGTCTGCTTTTTCTACCATTTTCTAGACATGTTGAGTCCCAAAGCTCAGACTGCTTTGCTGCTATAATTAAATCAAATTAACAAACAAAACATGTTATAGAACACATCAATGAGCCTCAAAAGAATCACTGAAATGGCTAGAATTTCCAAAAAGAGGTCAACTTTTTGAGCAAAGGATAAGTCTAGTAAGTCCTAACAGTTATGACTGCAGTCACGTGTTTTTGTTTCATTGCATACAGACCCTAACAAACCTGTCATTCTTAATACAATATTAGTATTATGTTTAGTTTAATCTTTTCCATTTGGAAATGGGGGGAAAACATGCTAAGGGAACAGAAGCTTGACTGCATAAGTTCCGAGGGAGACAAATGCAAATAAACTGTGATTTTTAGAACCTTGTATTCCAATTACTTAAATTAGCACTCAAATTTGAAGTGCCCACAATACCAGCATTAAGTGCCTTTTGAGAACAGACTTAAAAACGGTTCCCTCTTTTCACAGAATGGCTGAAGTTGGATGAGACCTCTGGAGGTCATCTAGTCCAACACCTCTGCTCAAGGAGGGCCACCTACAGCAGGTTGCCAAGGACGACACCCAGATAGCTTTTGAGCATCTCTACTGATAAGGACTCTATATTCTCAATGGGAAGCTTGTTCCACTATTTGAGCATCCTCACAATAAAAGTATAGATAACCATTTTTCATGGTTTAGGAACACTACTCCCCAATTCAGGTCCCCCAGCAAGACTCTCCCAAACCAGATGCCATTGCTTGCTCCCCACCCCCTCCTGCTCAGGTTAAGATAAGAACAATTTACTGGAAAGAGCAATGTGATATGAAAGGAACAATAACAGCAACAATGTTATTAACAAAAGGTACAAGACAAAGAAACAATTTACATGGAAAGTGAAACACCACCAAACCGCCTGTCATGCCTTCTCTCCTCCCAGTTGGAAAAGAGAGTCCCTTACTCCTGACCATGGCAAATCACACGAGATAGTATTAAATAACAGTGGGGTCTGGCCATGCCCCCTTCCACCTATTGTAAAAAATCAACCCTGTCCTGGCCAAAACTAGGACACACCATTATATGTACATAATGGTTAAATGGAATTTCCTCTACAGTTTGTGCTCATTGTCTCTTAGCCTGTCATCACACACCACTGGCTCTACCTACTGTACAACCTCCCTTTAAGTATTTGTACACATAGATAATATGCCTCCTGAGCCTTCTCTACTCCAGACTAACAGTCCCTGCTCTCCCAGCCTTTCCTCCTATGGAAGGTACATTAGTCCCCTCACCATCTTAGGGGGCCTCACTGGACTCTCTCCAAGACACTCCTGTACTGAGGAATCCAGAGTTGGACACAATAGTCCAGCTGTGCAGGCCTTGCCAGTGCTGAGGAGAGGGGAAGGATCACATTCCTTGAACCACCATGTTAAACTCCTCCTAATGCAGCCCAGGATATCATTAGCCTTCTTTGAAGCCAGGGCATATTGCTGCCTCATGTTCAACTATGGTCATGGTCTCCACTATGACCCCCACTGCCTTTTCTGCAAAGCTGCTTTCCAGCTGGTCAGCCCCCATAATGTACTAGTGTCTCGGTTTGTTCCTCCTTATGTGCAGGACTTCACACTCAGTGTTGAAGTTCATGAAATTTCTGTCAGCCCACTTTTACAGCCTGTGAAGATTCCACTGGATCAGCCACTTCTACTTTGGTATCATCTGGATACTTTGGATGGAATATTCCACCCCAGTGTCCAGGTCATTAATGCAGATGTTGAACAAGACAGGAGCCAGTACAGTGCCCCTGGGTACAAAGCTAGTTACTGGCCTCCAGTTAGACTTTGTGCTACTGATCATTGTCCTCTGGGCTCAGTCATTAAGTCAGTTTTTCAATGCATCTCAGGGACTCCTGGTGGCCTAGTGGTTAGCATGCGGGACTCTCACCGCTGCAACCCAGGTTCAATTCCCAGTCCCTCCCAGGCAGATGGAACCCGTTAGCCCTGTGAGGCCATCCATCTATGAGAAGGACACTCTAAACAAACCTACGTCCGGAAGACCTCACTGCCATTGTCCAAGCTTGCTTGGCCCCGGCAGATGAACCTTAGGATTAAAGGGTGGGCTCAGTTCAGCGCAGGCTGTGTCTCACCTAAAAAATCCATTGCGCAGGCTGGAAAGGTAAAAGACCTTTCCCCAAATCTTCAATGCATCTCACTGTTTGCCCATCCAGCCCATACTTCATCACCTCTTCTTCATGTGGCTGGAAATACTTTCCAGAATTAGTTCTTTCATTACCTTACCAGGGATCAAGGTGAGACTGACCAGCCTGTAGTTTCCTGCATCCTCCTCCTTGTTCATAGGTATGACATTTTCTTTCCTCTAGTCTTTAGGCACCTGGCCCAGTCATCATGATCATTCAAAAATGGCTTCACGCCAACATCACCCAACATCAGTGAGCTCCCTTAGTACTTATGGGTGCAGCAGGACCTCTGGACTTACATTAGACTAGTTTGCCAAAGTATTCTCCAACCTGCTTCTCCCACCATGGGTAAGCCTTTCTTGCTTCCAGACTTCCCCAGTCTCCGGGTCCTTAAGAGTACTGAAAGCTGAACTTTCTAATCTTTTTAGTAAAGACTGCGATGAAATACTTAGCCTTTTTCGTGTCCTGTGTCATCAGGGTTCCCGCCTCATTCATCTGTGATCCCATATTTTCCTTAGTGTTCCTTTCACTACTTACATACTTACAAAAGCCCCTCTTTGGTTAGTCCCAAACTGCCTTCTGATCCTGTCTCTTTCAGGAATCACTAACTCACTCTTATCCACGCACAAACTTTTTCTGACAGTAAAAATCCAGCCATTACAAGCACCCTGATTTCGTACAAATGAGCAAATGACATTGGGGATCCAACCACCACCGGAGTGAGAGATACCTACACATCACAGCTAATCTTCACACACTTTTATTCACCTCCTTAAGACAGTCTCCTACTGTTACTTCTATGGTTCTTATCACCTTCACTTTTCATTATTAACTGTAAATGCTAAGCATGAACACAAGGTCCAGTTTTTCTTAGTACTCAACATTCCAGTAACACTTTAGTGTTTAAATACTGAAAATAAACACAATTTCCCCCTTCAATAGGGTGCTATAGATGGCCTCCCATAGCTCTGCTAGTTTTTCACCATCTACAGACAAATTGCTCATTAATCTTACTTCCAAAGAAAGTCTTAGTTTCAAGCACTTGCTTGTGTCAGCTGCACAAAAACAGTAATAAATTCCATTTTTTCCCAAATTTCCACTCTATTTTCTTAATTTAGTTGGAGCTACAGCCAATTCAATTATTTCATCTCTTAGTATGCCAAGTGTAAACCTTACTCTTTCCCAGTGTAATGCTTTTTTGAAGTCTGGAACTTTGCTTTATTAGTTCTTTAACCGTATTTTCATAAAGAGATGCTTGCACATTTGAAATCACACTTTGCTGTGCATCCCTAGTTACCATGTACATGTTTGTACTTGAGTGATGAATTACATGAATGGAAACATGCAATAATACATTTGCAAGCCCATCAACTGGAAACTTAATAACCTAGTTACTGAGCATATATATTTCTTTTGTGACCCAAACTTTATTTCTCATGTTTTAAATTCTCTAAATGTTGTTATATATCTCCACCAGAGGAGATACAGGAAAAAAAAATGTTTGGAATAAAAACTTACAGTTCTTAGTGCTCTAACTCACATACTTAAAGTCCATTTAAACACATTTTTAATACTGTAGAGAGTAACAAAAAAACCAAACCAAACCAACCAAACAAAAAACCCCCAAACTTTCAAAGAGACAACTGAGACTTAAGACCTACTACTGCGCTTTATGGCCTACAATAACCCCGCAATGACATTAAAATTGCCAGTGTTTATCCCAGCAACAAATGTGACCCATAGTATAACTCAGCCTGTATTGTTTTCTTTCAAAGTTTGAAGCAATTAAAACAATAGCTCTCCAATATATTCAGATTATTGTTACAGTAAGAGATTACAACACATCAACATTATTTTTGATGAGTGGAAGAACATTTTTGAAAGAATCTTTACATCACTTGAGAAACTGCAATTTTCCCCCCTCCCCCCAAAGAAAGAAAATATAATAAATGTGTACTACCTTGTCACTTTACAGCTTGACTCAATCAGCTCATTTTCAATATCCAACAGACTAGAAGGCAAATTGTATTCCAAGGATGAGGCCATTCTTTTTAAACGCAGTAAGCCAACACAGAATTTTGCTCCCATCTCTTCCAGTTCTCTTGTCCCTATCTGCAATCCCTAATTTGAAAATGAGATTTAAAAAATACAAAATAGATACATGCAGATGGAACCACACATGCTGCAGAATTACTCTACGTCAACATTTTGTTATTTTATTCAATACATTCTCTTGGTTTAAAGACAGAACAAATAAGAACTGTAGAGTAAACTCTTACCAAGAATAACAGAAGAGACTCAGAAATAACTAGATGATTCCTCTAAGTCTGAACAGAGACACTCACTTTTTTTGAGCTTTCCAGTCTACTTCTAGCACATCAGCATTAACAGTTCTTTACCCAGTAGCATTTGAAGAGAGACAGAGACCATGTCCAAATTTATAAGTATAAATAATTTTTAAAAATTGAGACAAAATTTATAAAAATTAATTTCAAATACAAGATTTTTCAATGTAAGTTCCATTAATAAGAATGAAAAAAGTGAAAATTAATATTGTAGCTGTGATTAAGTTCATTGGTATGTTCTGACACACAGATATGACTATTTAAGACATCAAAGTTACTCCTTGACACAGATATTCTTCTCCCCTATAAGTTAGAGGCTATGTGTTAATTCTGAAAGCATTTATTCACACATTTAGTAATTAAAACTAACAAACAAATTATCAAAGGTCATAGTTGTTTTCTAACTTGAATGATATACCCAGGCATTTTCCTCTGCAAAGACTATTTAGGAGGTAGAACTTTTGTAATGCTCTCCAAGTTCACATATGTGATAAAGCCTCCCATCAGATAACACTACACTTTTAATTTAGTCAGGAGTGCAGTATACAGAGGCATAACCTCTGACCTCAACTACTTTATGAAAAGGGCATGGTCTAGAGTGACCCTCAACAGTTATGGAATTGGCTAGTTATAACTGTATATACACTAGCAAATTCAATGGCACAACGCAGCTCCATCTCCCCCTTTGCAACTTCTGTATCTCTGGAGAATTTAAAAGGGTTTTAGCTTGGATCTTCTAAACCTCTTAATGTAAAGATTAGTTAAGAAGAAGCTTTGACAAAACAAACAGGGAAGCAGAGGAGACAGGAATTGGTGAGTCATCGAGTAGGAAAAATACATGAAGCAAAAAGAATGGAGTAGAAAACTTTTTACCAAAAGCTAAAAAAAAACACATAAGCTTTGTATGTGTTGCCACACTGACAATGCATTTTAAAATGCAAGGTTTAAAAGAAAGTATGTTGCTCCAGAAATGGTTCAGCCCACACATTGTTCATGTACTGTTTTGAACATACACACGATTAATAGATGGAAAGTTTGATTTTCTTGTGAGTTCTTTTTTTCCCTCAGTAGTCTTCATAAACAAGGTGCTTTACAGCAACAAGAAAGATAAAGCTATATCCACCATTCTTAACAGTGCCATCCTCCACCCAAATGATACTGAAACCTGTTAGCAGTGAAGAAGAGTTGGATATTTGAGTATTATTCTTAATAGTAATGCTACTTACCTCTTTTATAATGCTTTTGGGCTGTAGGTTTCAAAGCACTTATTAATAAAGGAAGAATTATCCTCACTTTACTGATGGAGAAATGGAGGCAGAGAGGGTTGAAGCGATTTGCACAGTGTCTCACAGCATGTCACTGACCCCGCTGGGAACAGAAATCAGTTCTCCTCACTCAGTGTAGTACCTTATCCACAGAGGCCAATTTTTTGTTTTTGTTTTATATTTGTTTGCACATCATTAACTTTCAAAGGCCCCAAACAGAGCTGGGGCTCCACTATGCTAATCACAGGAGACACAGCCCCTGCCCTAAAGAGATTAAAATAACGTTAAGGACAAGAAGCAACAAGTATGCAGAAGAGGAAGGAAAAGTGTAACAGTAATCTATCTCACTGTTACAAAGATTACTAATGTGCACAACTTGATGGTTCAGAAACTTTTCCAATCAGCGTCTACATTTGTTGCTGAAGAACTCATCATTAGCTGGTAGGTTCCTTATAGACAGGATATGTATAACAGGAGCCTCTCTAATTTGAAAAAGGAATAAGAGTAAAGTATGATGGAAAGTGCAAAGACAATTGTTAGAAAGATAAATAGCGTGTGCATGTTCCATGGCTGCTATTTTCAGCACAGCAGAAATAGGATACAACTAAGAGAAAACTAAATGGATCAGGTTGGAGGTGGATAACTGTGGAACACTGGGAGAATGAACTACCCTCAAGGGTCTACAAAATTGTGGTAAAAGCCCATGGCAAAGTCTAGATTTACTTCTCTAATTTCTTTAAATGATAAGGGGAATGCAATACCACACAACTGCCAAATACTGAATTTCTTAATCCACTGTTATTCTTCCAGCAGCCAAACCTCATAATTTCCATGAAACAAGAGACTCAAAGTGTGTTTCAGGAAATAATAATAATCATCGTCATCAGTTGCCATCACTAAGGGACCTGAGGTGAAGTTCAGTTTCACAGAAGCCATAATTACACTCCTTTTCTTGATCTTGTAATTATCCTCAACTGTTGTTCTAGCACTTTTAACTGTAGCCTATTAAAGACATTGCTTTTAAGCACAAGCCACCTGCAAGTAGCTGCTTTTCTTTTAAACATGAGCTAAATGTCATTCCTTTTCCTTTACATTTTATACAATTGTCTTTCTTCTAGACAGTAACATTTTAGATGGAAGGTTGAAGTCTTTCTTACTAACTGTGTAATGAAGATACCTTCACATGAATAGAGCGTTTCAGTGATTAACTTTGCTACCTGAAAGCAAAGAGACAAAGCAAAGGCACAACAGACTGTGACCTCAAGTTGAGAAGAATGTTCCTGTAATATGTACTTAACCAAATTAAGATTTGGAGAAGTCAGCTGGACAGCAAAACATCATGTTGATCTTCTGTGTTCTGCAGAGGCTACAAACACATAATCATTCTTGAGAACTCAAAATCTAAAGACAGAAGAATCATGGTAACTGATAAGTTTGTTAACCGAATCCTTATTTCCTAAAGTCTTCTCTTCATGTACATCATAAAATTTCCACATAACAACATCTTTTCGATTAACTTCAAAAGTTATCAATACTCCTAAACTTAGTAATTTCTAATCAGGAAAGGGATTGATTTCAGTTTTCAGGTGGCTTAAATTATCAAAAACATTGTTCTTTTGTCTGCCATATTAAACATGCACTATAGTAGATCCTGGAGAATCTTTTCCCCTGAAAGGTTGTTTTTCAACATCTTGAATTGCAGATGACTGAGCAATATTTGCAGCACTAATTCTCAACACACTACAAAGACTCCATGTAATCAGTTGAAAAAAGATTGCTTCCAGAGATACACTGTTATTAGAGATCCTAAATTCAGATAAGAATTGCTAACTTCAATTCCACAGCTTCCTGGCTGGAAATAGTCTAGCATCACCATTTTCCAAGTAAAATGAAAAAGAATAAAAAGAAAAACTGATGTTCAGATATTACCCAGCTTTGGCAAAGACTCAGTATTTCTTCCACAGAGAACTGAATTGTTCAGTAATCCCCTTTGTGCTTTGAACAAAATTCAGCAATGATGCCAAACCAGAATAAGACTGGAAAAGTGCTTCAGACCTTTACACAGTCCAGTCTGTGTATCTGAGAGTCTGAACTCTCATGTCCTTTGGGATGGGAGTAGGAGGGGAGGAAATTTCTACAGTTCGATTTCTGTTTTAAAATAACATATTGTGATATATATAATTTAATTTATACCCCAAGTTTATTGACAGAGTTGCTGGCCCCATTCCTGGTTACAAGCTGGTCTCCAGGAAGGCCTAGACTGAAACCATCACACCTCCACAAAAAAACCCAAACAACAAAACCCAAACCCCCCCCCCAAGCCTGAGCCTTTTTATCTCTTTCAGCTTCTCACTGGAGAAATGCTCTTCTTTTCTTGTTCAGTCCAGTCAACTTGGCTTTTTAGATATATTTTCTTAGTAAGTCTGAGCATTAGCCTAGTGAAGAAATAATTAAAAATCTTCCTGTATGTTCAGAGGATGACTATGAGCTCACAAATTGTTTTATTCCAAAAAAATGAATGGCAGAACAGCAATTTTATCTTATCAGCTACTTTATATTACACAGAGGAATGCTCTTCCCTTTTCAGTAAATGATTCTTCCATAGAATCCAGCCATTTTTTTCCTTCATTGCAGAAGAAGGGCTTTGGAGGTTTAAGCATCTTGAAAGTTTGTCCACAAAGCTCTTCACTTTTCTTAAGTACTTTCTGTAGCAACACTGCATGAAGATTCATGTTTAAGAACATTCTGGAAATTTCAAAATAAGCAAGTTGGATCAGTTATCTTTTTTTAAAGCTCCATAATGATGTCATCTGAGGAATAATGGAATATTCTGACAACAGCAGGAATGCTTCTGTATTAATTGACAAAATTTAGTACTTACAGGCCTACCAAAATTCCTGCCAAAATGTCTGTCTTCCTGCTGTCTAGGGAGACAAGCATGGATGTTGGAGCATACATTAATATACTAAATATACCTTGTTCCAACTTTTTTTTGTTTCTGTCCCACCCTATCCTTGATCTCAGCCTTCTGATCCTCTTTCTGTCAAACACCTTATTCGAGGCTTGTGATCATTTTCTTGATTAGCATTCCTAAGCTCTATTTTCAGGCAGAGGAAACCAACTTCTTCCATGAATGTTGTCTACTATTGACACACTGAAAACAAGGTCACAGCCCTGTTAATACTTTTCAAGAAGAGAAAATGAAAACGAATTTTCAAGAAGCCAAACAACTATAATGAGTTAAGAGACGATGTGTAATTTATAATGCTGGTAACCTGATATGAAAGTGTTTTGACTTATAAGCCTGTTTCTTCAGCTACACAGGAAAATTCTGTGAGGGACACTACTAAATACCTGCTGAAGAATCATGAACTGCCATGGTGAAGTCTAAAATTGCCATGTATTAAGGAAATTTTTATTGCCATGTATTAAGGAAATCTATTGGACAGAACAGTTCTGGGGTTTTTTAACTACACGCATATATATGTGTTATAAGCAATGATTAATATTAATCTTGTTAAAACAGCCCATAAGCATAACTGTTATGCAACCTATAATATTGCAAGCTATGTAATTTCATCCTGCCATTAGTGTACCCAGACCTTAGAAGGTTTTAGAAGTTAAAGCAAGCAAGCAAGCAAATGGGGTTATAGAATAAGATACCAATGCAAATGGAAGAAATTAAAAAGAAAGAAAAGTTTAACTGATATATCTTCTTACCTTATATTTGCCCTGGTCACATCCACATAACGTGCTTTCCATTGTGTAGCTCCTTTGTACTCCTATCTCTCTCCAGACAACAACCCGTGCTGTAGATTCCTTGGACTTTTCCACTACAAAGCTGCAGCTGCCCATGCAGAATGCTGGGGCAATCTGACTCAGGATCTTGGGGAGTGCCTGCAGAACAGCAATTTGAAATTATTTCCTTTACAGAAGGAGATGAGAGGGGGCCATGTAATCACAAACTGTTATGAGAAAATTTTACTGCAGTTTGAATCAAAGTAACAAGAAAATCAATCTCCATCTTGAATTTTAAAAACAGTGTCTTCAGGTTTGCCTTTTCCTACTTAATAAAATCCTTTTTTTCAGATTCAGTCACTCAAATTGTTAGTCATGTGGGTAAGAATCAGGATACAAGAGAATTCTTCAGCTGGTCATCATCTTCTCCCTAATTCACCAAGCTAAGCTTGCTTAAATTAAGTGTACCACACTTTGCATAAAGTTATTTAATTCAGTTTCAGATTGTTTCAACAATCCCATTTACAGACCTAACAAAACCAGTACTTTATTAATACATAAAATTAATTTGTATACAGCAAAGCACTAGGTGCATATTTAACTTCAAGAATGTGAATCAAAATTCAGTATAACTGTTTACATGACAGCTTCAAGGAACAGTTATGCAAATATGTGTGTTTGACTAATGCTAAATGACTATTCTGTCCAGCTTTTATTTGTGTCAGTTAAAACAAAACACAACTGCTTCAAATTTATTATTTCAGTAGTACATACACCATTAGTAGTGTAACCTTGCCCAAACATTTCAGTCCACCTTTTTGAAATCAAAAGGCTTTTTCCCCACAACTCTTATTGACTGTTGTCTTCTGTGCAGTATAGTAGTGCAGGCTGAAGTGACAAAACCCCATATAAATGTGTTACAGCAGCAGACATGAATGGCATCCGATTCAGCATCCAGGAAATCACACAAGAAAATCAAGAAGTGATAGATAGATATTGTTTTTTGTAAATGAGGGAGTACAGAAAGCATCTGTACTCGTTTACACTCATGGATGTATAACAAGCATTTTATCATGCATTCACATGTTTGTCGAGCTTAACTCAGGGGGCCTGATGCATTTAGGTTGCACGGGTTTGCAGTTGCCACAAGGCGGCAGTGGAGATTCACAGAAGACAGGTAACATCCAATCCTCTAAATTTTTGACATTTTTGAAAGTTTATACAATGCAGTGGATGTTTTTGTGGAAGTTTAAATGACTATACGTTCATCCAGTAATTATGAATGCACAGTAGTATATTTTCCACCTATTGTCTCTAACAGTAATATTAAACACACACAAAAAAAGCAATTATTGGTACAATGAAATAAAAAAAAAATTAAGCACTCTACGTAAATATTTAAAGCTGTCAAAATACTTAAAAGTACACTCATGAACTAAAAAGAGATCATTTTAAATAAGTCTGCTTATGTTATGGAGTCATTACTTGCACAGAATTATTATCAGGAAGTTATTTTAAAAGTATATTCCAAATCCATGCCCAAAGAAAGAGGTACAAATGTCAAACTTACCCTGTAACCGGGGTCTTCCATCAGGTCACAAGAGGCAGCATTAACACTTGTATGCCACATTGTCTCTTTGATGCTGCAGCCATACATAAATACATTCTTTTTACGAGAATGACCATGATAATCGCAGTAGACCTACAATAAATCATTTGGCAAAATAAAACCAAGGCATACGGAGTTAACACTTTATGAAAGTAATATAAGGCAATTTTTTTTTATTATTTGTCTTACTGTTGAAAGTTCAAAAGAATTAAGCAACACAATTCCTTATATAATTAACTTGTGTATGAGGACAAAAAACATGGGATTCGTCTAAGGAAGGTTTAACCTTCTATCCTAGCCAATGTAACAGATTTACATCTACAGGTTTGCAGAAGACCAGTTCTCCAAGTTAAATTTAAGTGTGACGCGGTTTACAAGACCACATTAAAATGTTTAATTTATAGACTAGCTACACAGATAAAGTTAAAAAATTCAGAATTGCTTACACACACATACTTACCAAAGGTAAACGTTTTATAGCAGCCAGATATTGCAGTAACCCTTTAGCATGGTAAATAGTGGGATGCAGATCTGGATTTGGATTTTGCCACTGTCTGTTTAAATCTTCTCCACTTAAAGAGCAACGGTGGCTATTGTGGGGGGGTGGAAAAACGCATGATGTAGTCTGTATTATCATACTTTTAAATAAACCTTCCCCCCACCTCAAGATTTCATCATCACCACTGCTTCTTTGGAAGGAGTCTGGCAAGAAACAAACTTCAATTTTCTAACATGCCATGTAATAGAATTGTTTGGGGTATTTAAGTTATGTTACAGAGAAACTAAAAATAAATTAGAAGCAGCTTCTTATGTGAAGCCACTTGTAATATTGTTTATTTGCTGTTGAAACTGACGACTTGAACTTCTATTCAAATGTTAGTTCAAAATCAGTAATTTCAAATATAAGGTATCTTTACATTTTTGGTGTCTTGACTTCTGTAATTTAAAGACCAATGTGAACTAGAAATCTAATACTTGAACAGGAAACTGTTAGGAGACAAGGAGCTGTGAGAAAAAGAAGAAATTAAACAAACAAACAAACAAACCCCCAGCAAACAAATAAAGATCATCTCTGAATTCAGTCAGCTATCAGCAAGAACTTTTAAACTTGCAGAAATTCATGATTGCATAGTCATCTTCATTACATTTGCCTTTAGATTGTGTCTGCTGGGACATATTTCTTAATTGTCCCTGTATCCTGAATTATTTCATTAGAAGTGTTTCAGTATATACATGATCTTACATTTAAAGACAGAGTTCTACTGAAATCCATAATTGGTTTTATTTTTATTATTTTATTCACAAAACTTTTAAAAATATTACTCATAACTAGATGAGAAGAAAACGTAGATTCATCATAGCAAAATTTCCATTTCATTTGAATTCCAGTAACCAAGTAAATGGAGACTGCTGAATGTTTACTCACAGCAGTCTCAAAAGGTTCTGAAATATCCCTTAAATCTATTAAGAAAAGAAGCAGTAAGTGAAATAATTACTATGAATAACTTTAATCAAACCAGGATACCTCTTACCCTTTCTCTTGCACACCTATTAACTTTCCACTTTTAACAACATTTGACAACAGCCAAAAAACATATTTACACAAAAAACTTTCTCAAATATAAGGCTTTTTTTTTTTTTATTAGGACTGGGAAGTTGTTTAGCTTTTCCTAAATGTCAGGTGTGGTCTCATATGACACTGTTACACACATCCAAGACTGCTGTTCAGAGAGACAATTAAAATGTCATGTCAAATCACACAGCAATGATTATTATCCATGGAAAACTAAAAATATTTTTTATAAAACTGAAATTTGTGACACAATGCAACTACATTTTAAAAAGGAAAAAAATGAAGAAGTCCTAGCAATATTGCAAAAGTTGGTTGGATTTTATCTCATTAAGTATTGCATTTGTATCTTTCCAGGATTACTTTGGATTATTCTTTTTAAAATAATGATATAAAGAATTAGTAGTACAGGTTATATATTTGTAAGTAAATGTATGCTTACTTTCCATTGATGACACCATCTGGATTGAGCATGGGAATAATTTTGAAAATATAAGATTCCCGTAAACATTGGGCATTTGGACTATTACTCATAAGGTATTCCAGTGTTCCCTTCATAACCCAGCTTGCATTAGTCTCTCCAGGATGTACACGCGCAGACAGGAAAACATAAGGACGATTCCCTAAAAGAAGTATGCATAGAAATTGCAAAATATGATTTAAGCTAAGTAAAGTTTGTTAAATTGAAAAAAGAGCCAACAGCCAGCTACATTCATTACAATGCAAAAAAAACAGTATTTGTGATTTGAGTATTACTGAGTATGAGTATTATTGATAGAGCTTGCCACAATATTTTTTAAAGGACTGCTAATTACAGAACTATCACAGTGGAGCTTTAAATTCAATCAGACAATTATACAGTCACAACTAGTTTGAGCTGGCAGTCATGATAGGACTTTCACAACTTTTTTCCCAATAGCCAAGAAAAACAATGGAGTGGACAAACAAATCAGGAATGCTATTACAGCCAAAGCTCACTTTGCATCACAGTAACTTATATATTGGCTTTATGAAAGATTTTTTGACAAGCAAATAACCTCAGCATTTGGAGAAAAAAGTTACTCATCAGGCACTCTTTTCCAAGAAGTGTTGTCTGCAAAATGTAACATACAAAAGCATCTAGCAACAAAAATTTTAAATATATTAATATATACCCTTATATTTCCAAATATAAATAACTTTGACTACTACAAATAAATATTACTAAATAGATAGCAAATCCTGACTACTGGTGCCTTTTAATTTCAAGAAAGTTATTAACCTTATTTTACATTGCTGTTTTTACAATGCATAGCAGTTAATGCTAATTTTTTTTTCTATAAATACCTAGTTTTACATTGTTTTCAGACGATGATAAAGAGAAGTCATACTTACTGAACTGACAGACATGTTCATAGTAACTGGATTCTGGCATGGCTGTAATAGTGATTAATGGACAACTGTTGCCAGCCAGGGTCTCACAGAGAACATCTTGCCTAAAATATATCTGTTGAGGGTTGTGCATAGATTCCAGCTTCTGAAGATGCATCTTGATCCAAAAAATAATGAAAAAAATACTTCAAATCCTTTGCAGTCACATATGACAGCATACTTCAAAAGTACTATTTAACAGATCTTTCTTTTTATTGTTCTCAATAATGCTCAAGTTTCCATCATAATTCTGACCGTGAAATATCATTCTCTACATCTCTGACTGACTGAATACTTCTCTTCATAGATTCTGTTTTTCCAACTGCTTCAAGAAGGATGAAGGCAGAGAGGGTACATTATTGTACACAGATGTTACTGTAAGGGTATGTGGAAGGTAAGAACCTCTGCTTCATTAAGGTTATCTGATAAATGACCTTTCCACTGCAAAAAGCAATAACAAGTAAAGGAAGAACGAACAAACAGCAACGGAGAGCTGAGACACAACAGAAACAATAGCAAAGACCAAAGTCACCAGTCTCTCACTGACAGACTGTTAGGAATCTACAGACAAAGATTTGGAAAGAGTCACCTGAGGAACAAGGAGGAAACGAGGAACCTGAGGATTCAGGAAATTCAAGAGGGGGGCTGCAGTACCATACAAAAATCAAGCACCCGATCCCTGCAGTATGCCTTAGCTATCTCTCTCCTTAGCAGCCTCACTCTCTATTCTGTGCATGCAAGTGCAATGTAGACTAGTGCAACTAACAAGATGGGTGTAGGTGGATTTGGGAATGATCAAGTGTCTCAGCATCATTAGTTGGAGATGACACACCCCTTGGGAGCATCTTTGTGGGTACCAGAGACTCTGTGTCCCATGTCTCAGCTGCTGTTGGAATCAAAGCAGACTCCAGCAGATGGAGCTGTAGGCACTGCAGGCACCCTTCAGTCAGTGGTATCAGCAATGAAAGTGTCTCAGTGCCAGCTACTGCACTAGGTAAAGGGTGTTGGTGTCCAACCACTGAAACAAGAACAGTGAGTCCCCAAACTGGTGCTGCAATAAAGGCTAATTTCTCAGTGCCAGCACCTAGAATAGTAACATGGATTACAAGCCCATGTGCCTGGTACCAGCTGCTAGGGGTGGCAGGCAAGCATAAGCATTTTCCCCACAGCAAGTGTGCAAGGGGGGGGGGTGCATGTGCAATTTGCTAGCAAACTCCAAGGTGGACTACCAAGCCAGTATGGAGTCCCAGGTCAAGGAATGGGTATCAGGTGGGCAGAGAGTCCATGCTGGCATCTGGGCAGAACCACAAGTACAGAGTGCCTATGAGATGAGTGAGATTATCTTAATTATGGTAACTTCAGTTATCAAGAAGTATATGTAGAACAAGCAAGATACAAGTCATTTGACCCAAATTTGACTCAAACACAAATACTTCATCCAATTAGCACTGTTTCGAATCAATTAGATTGGGTAAGGTTGAAAGGAACGACAGTGGCTCTCCTGCTCCAATCTCCCTCCTCAAAGAGGGCCATCCTAGAGCAAATGGCACAGGATTGTATCCAGATGGTTCTTGAATATCCCCAGTGAGGGAGATTCTACAACCTCTCTGGGCAACCTGTTCCAATGCACAGTCACTTGCACAGTAGGGAAGTTCTTCCTCATGTTAAGGAGGAACTTCCTGGGCATCAATTTCTGCCCGTTGCCTCTTGTCCTGTTGCTTGGCACCACCGAGCAGAGCCTGGCTCCATCCTCTTGGTACTCTCCCTTCAGATACGTACAGATATAATATATATTGATGAAGTGTCTTCTCTGTCATCTCTTCTTGAGGCTGAAAAGATCCAGTTCCCTCAGCCTTTCCTCATAAAAGAGATGCTCCAGTTCCATAATCATTTTTATGACTCCTACAAAACCCAATTAGCCTGCAAGCATCAATTCTTTTTTTCCAGGACTGTTTTTTAGAACAACCTATACACTTTGCAGTCTAAACACTAACATTATGAAAATTTTCAATTTTAAGGAGCATTTTAAATTTTATTAAAAGAAACAAAAAGAATGCACTCATGAATGTTTATATTTCACACTTTCTAAAACTATAAATATTTATTTATGTAACATATCATAATCTTCTCACCTTTAAAGTTGAGTACGTATATGGGTAATGGTAAGCAAAGTAGCACACATCGTCTTTATGTTGGAAAGTCACTGTGAACGTAATTGTGTAATAGGATTTTCCTTTCTGACCTCCAGCAGCAATTGAACTTCTTGAAAAGTGATTCCTAAAGCAAAAATGAAGGTAGCATATATATTAGAATAATTTTTTTCATACCATTGATTATTTCTGAGCACACATTTTAAGTGTCAGAAGGATTTTTAGAAACTGTATTTCTCCTCTGTGTACATTCAGGTTAAATACACAGATTGCCACCAGCTGTAAAGATCCTATCTTACAGCAGTGATACACACATTCATCCACATTGGAAAAAGGTGAGCAAACAAAAACAAGTAACGCAATAAAACAAACAAAACCAAACAAAAAAAAGTAAGCAAACAGCTACCAACCTAGAAGGATTGCATATGGATATGCTGTACCATGTCATCCTGTGTTCCAGGATTGCTGTACACTGATTGCACCATATATTACAGGAGGCTCATCAAAAGGACCATGTGGTCAGTATTAGTCAAAGTCACTGAGAAGATTTCAAGTAAGCATGCGTATATACAGCCCCTTAAAAGCTTCTCTGAAACAGTGTGCAATTTCTGGGAAAAGTATAAAATATGAAGAGCTTAAATATTAGCAGTGTGCTTGCAAAATAAGACCCTGTATATTTCTATCACTTCTATTATTCTCCTTAGTAACTTGGGAAGAAAACTCTGTTCACAACAGAATAATGCAGTTATCAAATGCAGAAACAAATGTTTCTCCTCATAAATTGTACCTCCTGCTAAACTTCAGTTAAGATTTGCTATATGTTCGATTCACATACTTACTTATAGTAACAAATATCTGTCCCAACACGAGTCCAACATGGTTGAGAATTTAGTGCTTCTTGAACAGAATACATGAGGGGCTGCATACCTGAAAGAAAACGTGCATCTCACTTTAATGCTTAACATTAAACAGAAAGATCTTAGCAGTAATGGACCACATCGACATGTACATACAAGTCTACAAATTACCTATACTTATTCACTCACTATCATAGAGTATATTTTCATGAATGCCTGGATATTGTATGCTCTTTCAACCAGGTGACAAAAGATTCCTGATTTTCAGAAAATAACAAAGAAAAGAACCAGATCTATGGAAGACCAAAATGAAATGTTTAAATGAAAGATGAGGTTAGCATAAACAGTAATCTACAAAAAACCCTGGGTCCCACTCCATCCAACTCATGCAACAAAAAGGCTTCAAAGAGAATACAAAAAATTATACTATTATCCATTCACATAAATAACTGAAAAATAACTGAATTTCAGGGCAACTTTTTTAATAGTTAACTTTTTAAATTATGTATTTTTTGGATAGTATACTTAATTTGAATACTTAATATGAAGTTAAAGGAGAAAATAACACATACTAATTGAACATCATTTACTGGTTGAGTAATTAGCCAACCACATTGATTGATTTAGTCAATGTACTTAAAAAAAACAAAAGTAACTATCAAGTAATATATGCAACATGAAAGAAGATTTAAGACAACCGATGAGGATTAGTAAATAATTTAGAAGCATCTTATTACTGGTTAAACTACCTGGTATTCTGTGACTTGATCCATGTGAATGTTATGTGTACAACAAAGAAGAATACAATATTACTCTGTACAAAGAGTTGAATTTGGGAGGGGAGAAGGAATTTCTCTTCTTCCTTCTTTAAGGACAAATTTCAGAATATTCAGCAAGAAAAAAAAGAAACTTCATGAAACAAATGGTTTTAAGCTGAATAACACACACACCACATACACACTCCAGAGAAGTGGAAGAAAGGCATATTTACTAAGCCAGTACTTTTGAATGAGGTACATGCATCAGACTTGCTAAAGACTGCAAGGGTCACTTAGGAAGCCCGGCAGTAGACTTAAAAAAATAAGTAGACTTATTTTTCCATCCCATCAATAAGGCAAAACTGTTTCAGAATGTCTCTGCCTATTTTCACATCTGAAAATATACCTCTATGCAGAAATAGACTTATGATGTCATTCTCCCTGACCTCTGTCAATCAACAGGCTTTGGTGCTGTCCACCCCGCCCAACAGTCTTAGATCACTTTTAATTGCACCAGTAAATTTCTTCCACTTTGGCCTCACTTACAACAAAACTTCACTTTAAAAACCAACAGCTCATGGTTTAAGATACATTTTTAGTTTTTAACTGAAGCTGTCAAAACATCTTCTATTAAAATACTATTAAAATAAAGCATGTAAACTGACAACATGAATACTACTGATCCTGTGGAGAAGGGAAGGAAACAGCTGAGATGTCTAGTATAGATATTTTTTAAGTATTTCTTCTCAAAGTATGGGAAATGTATCTTACCGTAGTTAAACTGACTGTTTGACTTTTCACAGTTGATGATGTTAAATCGGTAACCAATGCCAGTTTTCATTCCACTGACTTCAAAGTAAAACCACTGATGATAATGATTGCTATTTATATCCGAGTTCAGAATTAGATCATACTCATTTCTAAAGATTAACAAAAACAAATCAATCTTTTTTTTAAGCAGCAGAAATAAAAGGCCTAAAGTATGAAAAGAAGAGCTGAAATATCTTACTTTCTGATCTGAATAACTTTGCGCAGGTTTCCAGATTCAAATTTGGAATTAAACTTCAAAACATCTGCCTCCTCTGGTACGGAATAACTATGAGTAGAAAAAGGGTCCAAAATGAATAAAACAAACTTAACTAAAACAAATTGATTTCTTTCAGTCCTCACTCGGCAGTTCAGAAACTACTTTGAATCTTCCTCTAAAATACAGCCTGGATAGCAGAAACACTGTTACATCAGATAAAACTTTCAATGAAATCTGCTTTAAATATTGCAAATCATATCACAGAGTAAGTAGAATAGACTTAGAGTATGAGTCAAATATTCTTTCCAGAAAGGTAAACACTTACCTCAAATTATCAAGGTCATACACAACTCTGTCTATAATGTCATTTTGATAAATTAGCCTTTCAATATCTTGAGATATTTTTGTCCTAAAATAAAAAGTAAAGTTCTCATTTAAACTTTCACATAATGTTCTCAATTACAAAAGAGGAATTAACTTATATAGGAATGAAAACTAACAAAGTTGACATGAAGATAGTGGTATAGTTCAGAGAGATCTCAGCCTCACCCTCACTTATGTGTACTTAAGTTTAAACACCTGCATTCACAGCTGACTGAATCCAATATTTATGTGAGGGAACTGAGTTTTCATGCAGACAACCCACTGGGTTTTATCTTATGGAAAAAAATGCAGTTTCATACTTTATAATAGAAGCAGGAATAACTCAAACGTTACTTATGTTAATGCTTTAATCCAGGACAACACTTGATAACATTAGTAACTTATATGAGTCCTACCATAAGCAAAATTAAGGAGTTTTAGAGAGCAGGTCATACAGTGAGTGTGTTAGCGAACTAGCTTTTCACCTCTGGAGATCTAGGTTCATTTATTGACTAGGTAACAAATAAAAATTAATTTGGTGATGTCAGCCAAATGTCAGGTGTATGCTTATCCAGATCATAAAACCATTGCACAACTGGCAGTATCTAGGTCCTGGTTTGGAAAAGTAAGAATGTGTTGCAGTTCAAGAATGAAATATAGTGGCAGAGCTGTGTGGAAAAGCTTGCACAGCACCTGCAATAAGAAGAAAAGGAGGCAGATTAACAATGAAGAATACAAAAACAGAGCAGTAAAGTATTCATGCTGGAAATTCTCAATTCAATTAAAATAAATACTGTTAACGAATGAGAAAGAGAAGGTAAGTGCACAACTCTAGCACCTCTTTTTAAATTTAAACTAACTGGAAAAGAAAACAATTCACAAGTCCAATGTACTGACAAGATTGTGATGAGGTTGACTCACCACAATCTATCTGAACAAGTTCAGCTCAGGATAGAACCACAGATTTTTCATCTTGCACTTGATCTTACAGAACTCTTCAGATCTCAGCATGCCTCAGCTCTACAAGGTCATAACACTTCCTATCATCACAGGAGTTTTGCCAAGACAAACCTCCATCAATGAAAATACGTAATAAATACTACATAAATAATAATGGCACTCAAATACCATTATAATGACCAATGTATATGAAAGGGAAGAAGAAACAGTATTCAAGATGCACACTAAAAGGAAAAGGAGTAATAGACATTTTCAGCTTCCAAAAAAATCAAGATAAACTATATCAAGATAATTAAAGAAAAAAGAAATCTGGAACCAACACTGTTGATGTGAGCTGTGTTCTTATAGACTAGTCCTTTGTGGATCCTGATGATTAGAAAATACAAAAGGGTCCAGAAAAAAAAAAACAACCTAAATTTTTAAGGAATGGAAGAAAAAAAGTAGGAATTTAACCCCAAATTTATATGGGATAATTTTCTTCTCTAAAACATAGAGTAACATAAAACACTTCAGTTATTCTCAATTTCATTTTTCCAAAAAATAATAACTTGGTGAGACCTTTGGTGATAATTACATGCTACTGAACTTAAAAGAAAATTACTCCAAAACACTAATTCAAAAACACTTCATCTCCTGGCAAACTGCAAGACTAAAGAAAAAGCCCCAAACCCTCTACCACATTGCTCTAACAAAAGTATGAAGAAAACCCACTCAATCACACCTTAAACCCACTAATGTTTTCTTAAATTACATGGATGGATTAAAGCAACCATTCTTTTTCTAAAGAAGACAGCTGATTAGCAGTAACTAACTGCTTACATTAAGGAGAACATAAATCCCACTGAATGTCAAAAGAGCTTGGACACAGCTTTGTAGAAGGCTTTAAAGTTTTTTCATTCCCCTATCAAACTCATTTTTACCACTTTCCTAAAAAATATGAATTCCTAAGAAGATTAAGCCCTTTTTAAACAGGTTCCCTTCTCAGAAGTTTGTTATATTGAAGTAACAAGACTTGAGTCATTTGTAGAAAACTGAATTTTTAAAACAGTGTATCTTAAAAATGTGATGTAGGATTTTTGATTCAAGGTTAGCAATACTATCTGATATTTCATTCTTATTTCACACAAGACCTAAAGAAGTTACTTTCAACATATGAAATATAACAAAACCAAAATATTTTAAGGTTAAAATATACCCTGAAATTATCTTTATGTTCTACAAATGAGCTTTATGTATAACCACACAAGGTTTGTTATTACAGTTCTTTATATCTAAGAGCAAGCACTGGAATGACAAATTGTATCTGAATTCACTCAGTTTTATCCAGGAAATTTCAGAATAATTAATTAGTACAAAAACACACATGAGGATTTGCAAGATTTTCTTACAATGCAGTTCTTAGGTGATTCCTGACTAAAGACTATCTCTCTTCTAAACCAACTGACTATCTAATAAAGAACTCACAGGGAAGATTCTCTTCCTTCAACACTGAACGGTATATTCATTATGTCATTAGTTTTCAGCACTTGTTCATTTCACTGGCAAGATTACTGTTTTATGACACATACGAAACAGCTAAAGGATTTTAATTATACCACCTAAACGTACTTAATCTCTTAATGATTTTAATATCTAAATGTAAATATGAAGAATCTCATTAAGTTGGTTATAGTTACAAATATAAAGCCAAAGGCATTCACCCTCATAATTAGGCAGGTCTCATAATAGCTGCAAGGTTTCATAATAGCTGCTATTGTTCTGCTAACATGTGCGTTTGTCTACAGTAACCTACTATGTATATGAGCCAACCCTTCATACTACCTCTGCAAATTATTCTTAAGAGTCTCATCAGTCTTCATCACACCCATTTATTTCTTCTCTGAGATGATGAGGAGTTTTATGTATTGTTTTCTGTTGGTTTGCTTTATTTTTCCTTCTGTGTTTATTGTGTGCCGTTCTGCAGGACCTAACACAAACTGCATTCTCAGCATTTGTTACCTCTAAATTCTGTTATACTACAAACACCAAAACCAAACACTTCGGAGTATTAATTTTTTAACTTTCTCCACTATATTTTCCTGAAAGATAGCTTTTTAGCACAGCAGAGAGAAAAGCTGCATCTTCGAACCATTCTACCTTTGCTAAGACCTCGAGAGCATTCAGTTGGGGATTTTTTTGTTTGTTTGGTGGTGTTTTTCTGTGGATTGGTTTGTTATTTTGCAAACCACAAAATTTAGATGGGAGATGGTGGGAAGGTAGAAAGGGAACGTATAAATTAAACTTAGTATTTAGAAACTGAATTACAGAATTAGCAATTACAGATCAGATTGTGTTCTTCTCTATGGCTGTGCACTCACCTAACCTTCAAGCTGCTTTTCACTGAAAATAGTTTTAGATGCCAAAGAAAACTGTGTGACATGGCCTGGTAACCACAGAATCACAGATAGTCAGGGTTGGAAAGGACCTCTGGAGATTATCTAGTTAATCTCATCCTAAAACATGTTCCTCAAGGGAACAATAACAACAACAAAAAAAATGAGTATGGTAACTCACCTCTGCACCCCATATGGCCTTTCCAGAATAGGTTCCTTAAAAGGGGGTGGAATATGGCCAAAATAATCTGGATAGGCCACTTCTGAATATTCTGGAATAGATTTTGTGGTTTTTACCATTTCAATATAAAGATCACAGTCATGAACTGATGATACATCGGAAACCTCAAGCTTGACTTGTTCCCCTGATGAACTAGATCTGGAATCCTCCTCCTCCTCTGAATCCACTCCAGTGCAGCAGAGTTTTCCCAGCTGGACAGATGATCCTTCAAATAGGCTACTTCCACAGGGTGAAACATGTTCACAAGGTTTACTACAAACAAGTGTGGTAAGGCTATCTTTGCTTTCCTTCTTTACTACACACCCTGGACCATAATACTGATCATTTTTTGCACTGTTCTGCAGACTGATTCTGTCCAAGCCTTTTACAATTTCTTGGCTTAGACACTGGCATGATGGAAGCATGTTTCTTTGATCATTTTTCTGATGTGAACTACTGTCTTTCATACCATCTTTCTTTGGTAGTTCCAGAAAGACTGGCCTTCTATTATATTCCTCTGTCAATAAAGGATTGCTTTCCTTCAAAGCAACCCCTTTCGTTGACTGGTTTGCTTCAGCAGAGTGCTCCTCGCTGGCTGTAGGAACAACAATAGGTCCACTCAGATTTGCATCAAGTACAAAAGGTTTTGGTTCCTTGGAAACTAAGTCCCATTCCTTAAAAAATAAAGGCGAAAAAATAATTAAAAAAATTATTAACAGTTCCTAAGTTCCATTTACATTAGAAACATTTCTCTTTCCCTTTTCCTGAGGTAAGTTTTTGAATAATCCAAAAGAAATGTAATTTAAAAGATAACAGTTATTATGTTATAAGCTATCATAGCAATTAAGGTTCATCTTTTACAAGATGAAAGCTTTAAAACCATAAACAAGTAGTTCATCAATAACAAGTCAGTTCATCAAGTCAGTGCAATTGACCCAGATATTTTAACCACTGATTTTAAGTAGATGCACAGCATAAAGGAAATACCTAATACAATGAAGCTCTCTCAGAAATCTCATGTCCTTCCTTACTATTTTATTTCTGCCCTGTCCAATAATTAGACATCAGAAAACAGTTTTGTTTACATCTGCCCACAGTCCCCTTCTCAGTCAGAGTGAAGTAACCATAACATTTAACTAAGTTACTTAGTATATATCACTCTCATATGTAGATCTAGAACTGCAGACCCATGTTTCTTGGCTAGAGGAACTATCCATCAAAAAAAAGAACATCAAAGTGTATTCCAGAGTCAACCTGACGTAACAAGAAATGTCCTGAGAATCATATATTTTACCTGAAAGTTTTCTGAAAGTTCTGGGAAAAACTGTTCATACATTTTCAATTCTTCTATGGGTCTTCCCAATTCCTGTCTAGGTTTCAGTTTATTAATATCAGTCTCAATATCATCATTCTGAAAGATCATCAGAACAAATTAATCTTGCATGCAGAATAAATACACTTCTAAAACATTAATCTGAAACATTCACTTTTTACGCCTGACACAGCCATGCTTTAAAAGCAGAATACCCCTATTTGAAAATTAGCTGAACTGCAGCTTTCACCATGAAGATTTAAGCAGCTTGGTTTTATTAGTATACCTAAGTTTCTATTTCAACAGAAATACTAAAACATCTCAATTTTCTTGCTTTTACACAAATTTATTATACACAGATATCAGACTACACTTTACATGAGATCTGTGCATATTTTGACTATTGCAACTTGGAATATGGAGACTTCATCTGATTGCAGTGACAAAGCAATGCTGCTTCTGTAGAAGACACTCCTTTCATCAGGGCTCATCAGACCCTTGAATAAAAGTTGTCTTTCCAGCCCATGGACAGACAATTCAATTAACTCTTAAATATCTGTAATATAAAAATACTGAATAAGGCAGTTCTGACCAAATATCCATCTGTGTTCCAAGTGGCAGGTGGAGAGCAGGATAATAACTTCCCAAAGTGGTACAACAGTGAAAGATCTATCTGTGCCTCTACAGTTGCCTGAACTTACTACCTTGCTGAAACACTGATCTAGTCAATCCCAGTCCAGAATGATCAAAAAAGTTAGAGCAGCTCCTACATACTGAGCAGCTTATGTAGGAAAAGTCGGCTGAGAAAAATACAAGTGGGGAACAGAACACTGCCAAAAGCGTTTGCAGTTCTGTTCCACTGTACTCCAGAAACATTAAGTGTGAAGTAAAGAGATTTTGATAAAAATCTTGAAGCCATCTGAACAAGAAAGGTTGATATTTCCAAGCAGCACCTGCTTCCTTTAAGTTTCAGGAGCTTTTTTAATTAATTCTGTCTCTACCAACCTTAAAATGTTGGTCTTTGTCATCATCATTTTCAGTTTCAATTTCTGATTCTGTTTCAGCATCATCGTTATCATCACTTTCATCTACTACATCATCCACTACAATACAAAAAAGTTCAGTAAGGCAGATTATACATTTAATCCAATATACAAGTTCAAAGAAGAACTTCTCTGTTCTGGGTTTATTTTCTTTTTCACTTACTACATGATAAAAAAATGTGAAAACCAACTCATTAACTAGTCCTGTTTGTTATGTTTTCTCATAAAGGGTTTCCCATGCAGGAAATCTGCTGATCGTCAATAAAAGGCTCACTCAGAAGTTTACAAATTATACTGATTTTCTAGTGTATTCAGAATAACTACATGTATTGCTTTTACTGATCATGGAAGATTGCTCTTTTAAAAAACACAGACCTCTACCCACCCCACATTCTACATGTCTTTTAACACAGAAGTTTTTCCTTTTAAAGCAAATCCTACATATTCTATTTCCTTAGGTTTTTCTCTTCTTTTTATAGAAGATAACGAAACCATTTTAAAAAACATATCAGTAGTTCACTTCATCAGACTAGGAAGTTTCTAAATGGGTATTATAGAGTACCAAACATACTGTATTAAGTGGAGATTTATTTTCTGTGGATTGAAACACACTTCTAGATCTATTTTATATGTGAAGACAAAACATAAAGTCCTTACTCCTGGAGTTTGAGTCTGACCCACTTAAACTCCAATAGGATAGCTTACTTCTTTCAGACTATGATGACATTTTGTTTCAGAAGATACTGTGAATAAGAAGATATTAATAAGTCCGACTTTGCCTCTTCGTTTTAGAGTAACTTTTTGACAGCAACTTTATTAGTTGCCTATCCAGGACCAAAGCTGTTTCACCATATCTGAATATGCATTAAACATTAATTCTCTGAAAATAATGAAAGATGCTCACAACAGGCTGAATCCATTTCCTACAAAGCAGCATCCAAATGCTTTGCAGACAAGTGTTTCCTAAGAGACTGCAACAGTCCAAGAAAGCAGCTTTATTTTTTCATCATGCAAATGAAGGAAAAAACACAATAATTTAAAAAAGCCAATGCTTCAAGTGGCACATGCTAATCTAAATTCAGCACACCTTGAGTTATTAGGGTAACAGAAAGAAAGGAATACACGCTCCTGTAAAGCAGGATGTACACTACATCACATTTCACACAGCAGAATATACATAAGTGAGTTAAAAGGAGAGACCATTTAAGTTTGTATACAGTCTACTCTTTACACTTCAGAGTTTGATGAACATCACCTTTTAGTTCCTGTTTTCTTTTTTATTCTATAACCACAGGTGTGGATACACATCACTTAAAACTTACAATTAGAAACTGGTGCTCCCCACTAACAGTCACAGACCCTTTCCTAGTTAAGAAGAGCATCAGAGTCCAAGTTTTAGGTGAGAACACAAATAACTGCAATTGATTCCATTTTACACAAAGCAGCAATAGACATACTCAAAGACAAAGTATTACAAAACTACCATACCATCAGGAGGCAAACTGTACAGCTGAGCCACAGGACCGCTGGCAGGAATAACTGGGAGTTGGAAATGGAAAGCACTTTTAATAGTCGGTAAAGGAAGACGATTTTTAGGAAAACATTTTCTCATTATTAGGCTAGATGTGTTGACGAGAGGATCAAGAGTTCTTACTGCAAGGCACTCCTATTAACAGGAGAATAACAAAAATTATTTATCAAACTAATAGTCAAACTACATTTGTTACACTATTAATGAATTCTAAAAATCTGTATTTTGTTTACAAAAAAATTTGCTAATGTCTCCTTTGAAGGCCAGAATAACTTCTCCCAACTCATATTCACATCTTTTTAAAAATCCAAACTTCAAAATTAAAAGGTATTTTTACCTCATCTTTTTTTAAACTAAGTTCAACCATGCCTTCCAGAGATAGTCACAGCAAAATAATAGCAAATATTAATTTAATTGTGTACTCTTTCACTCTATTTCAGGTTGGTACAGAAAATAATGCTTACTTCCATAATCAGGACTGACCACAAATCTCATAAAAGAAATATGACAAACTTGAGGTCAGGATCTTTTTAGAACAAAAGAGGCAAAACCACCAACATAAAAAAAACAAACACGATAAACTTACTTGTGAAGTGTTGTAAAGAATTTTCATCCCATTGGCATCAATGAATGCTTTTCTTCCCAGTTTGATGTTTGTAACACTTTTAATGCACTGCAAGACTCCTTTACGTATCAGCATGTATCTGTGACGACTATCATGACGGTGCCAATCAACATAAATCGTTAAAAGCACCTGCACATATCCTCTGTCTACTGCTCTCCTGGCATTTGTTTCTTTGCAAAAAAAGTTAGGAAAGAAAATTAAATTTTGACCAAATGACTTCAGTATTACTTTCAAATCAATGTTTAAATTTTTCTTTTTATGCAAGAGAGTTGTTTCATTTTAAGTAGTGTTTTAGCCACACTTAGCAGAGTTTTACATCAACCTAAACAGAAGTGACTGAAGAATTGAGACCAGTAGTCTAAACTTCATTCTTAGAATAATACCGTATGTAATTTTCATGGTTTACCAGAAGAACAGTGTGCATTACACTTAAAGGTAACGGTAAGATGATGTCATCCACAAATTTAAAAAAAGAAAAATTCTACAAAGCATATCTATGTCCATCCACACACACTGTGTAGACAAAATATTTGAAACAAACCTCTTTTCACTTGCAATCCATACAGTTTTGTAGCAACTATCACTCAAATTTGATAAACTTATAATACCTCTACCCCAAATACTGGATAATCAGTATGACAACTGCACTATACACACCATAGATTAGTGTTTTTATGAAGAGATTTACTTATATAAAGTGTAAGAAGTTACAATGTCAAAACCTGTAAGGAGAAGACATCCCTAAATAAATACACAAGATCTCCTGTTTTAAAGACCTTTTCAACACTTCATTTCTCTCCCCAATATTAAAGTTTAACTGCCAATTTATAGAATAGAACACTGACAATGATATAGAATAATTTCTTTCCCTAAATTTCCCTAGGAGAATTTGCAAAATTTTTAAATACACAAATCAGAAGACCAAGGTATGACACTGAACAAACATCAGTAAACTGTGACAATCAGTACCAAAATTTCCTGTCATTTGTCTGAAATGGTTTTCTGCAAATCTAATCACACCTCAGTTCTTATCCAACTCCACTGGAAGTACTAGGAATGCTGCAGCTTTAACACAACTGTTTGGAGAAAATGAGTTTTTAATTCCCTTCTAGCTACAATCCTGGTTCAAAATCTGTGGAGACAACATTTGTTGCTTACTGCTGGATGAGACAGTCCATGCCTGGAAACAGACCACTGTTTTGTTACCCTTAATTCCACTTCATGAGCATCACTGACAGACTTGCCATTAGGACCCAAGTCCTAATTACTCAGAAGAATTACTGAAGAATACCTACATTTTCCCCTGTCATCCACAGATATTTCCAGATATATATACATAAAAAAGATGCACAGGAGTTAAGTTATAGATATCCATTACTGAAGGGCTGAGATGAGTGAATGTAAAAGGCTATTTCTCCACCTCAGATCCAGATCAGTTTTGCAGAAGCAGTGCAGCCCTTCTGCTGCATAACTGAAGAAATACTAACCAATTATTAAACATATAGCTATATACAACATAAATAAAGCACCACAGACTGCAGATAAAACTGTACGTTATTTCTAGCTTTCCTTGCCTTGATTTTGTTTAGGCCACAGACTTAATGTTAGTTTTACCCTGTCTGTACACACGCACATATATATAGCTCAAGTAGACAAATAGTTTCTTGTAGTCAAACACTTACTTGATTTCAGCAATGCAGCAAGTGTGTCTAAAGCAACCCTGTCAATATAACAAGAAAAGTCAGAACAGTAACCAACCAGTAAGCTTAATCTACAATACTATAAAACTAGACAAGATACTTACTGCTAATAGACATATAAAGTCTAACCTCATGTTTTCCTGGTTGCATTGTATCATAGATTTCACTTTTAAAATTTGATTTTACTATGAGATCACATAAATCTGCTGCATCTGAAGTCTGATGGAAAAACTTAAAAAATATCAATGCAATGGCTATCCAAAATTCCAGCTTTTGCAAAAACACTGTGACTATGTAATGTTTATGACCGACACTCAGTGGTTGTGACAGTTCTGAAATTCATGTTTTTGTTAGCAACAGAACAAGTATTTCCACAAAGGACATTATTTTCAAGAACTGTAGGTCAGTACTGGTGGTGTATTAATACACTGAGAAGCAATACCCATCAATTTGTACTACCATACATGATGATCAGTGTGAGATTTTTCTTGTACACAAAGACATTTTTTCAATTAACTCAAATTGTACAACTAGAAAACACATAGACTTATTTTTCCCCTCTTTGTGAAGATAGACTTCATGTATATGATCTTACATCATAAACAAGGATATCATGATTACTCACATCAGAGAATAGTAAGTTCCTAGGTCTAATTTTAGGCTGGGGTTTAAAGGAGCAGGGCTTTTTTTTTTTTTGAAAGGGACTCCTGTGACCACAAATACCAGATTTTGATAACATAACACTATTTTTTTTTGTACAGAAGTTAGAATATGTACAATACAAGATTATTATTTTGCTAACCAGATGAAAAATTTAGTCTGCCACAGGCAGGTACTTCAAAAAGGTGGAGTGTGTAAAGAAAGGTTATCTTCAGTTAGATCCTCTTAGCTAATTTTTACCCTAAATTCATCGAAAAAACCCAAAACAAACCCCAAAAAGAACCCCAAACAATCAAAAAAACCCTATAAAACCTATCAACCACCACGGGGCTGGGAATCTAAAGTCATCGCTTTCAGCTACACAGTGAATTTTATGTTTTTTTAAACACAACAGCACAATGGCCCACTAGACAAATATTGCTGGGACATCCTACTCTATATTTTATGTTCTTGCTCTGAGAGTCTATAATTGATTTGAAATAAAACAGAAAGAAAATTTTATTACCAAATAAAAGGGATAGTGTCACACCAAAAGCACAAAGCAGATGCAGAAGCCAATTAAACAAATTGAAAAATGATGGGATTGTCTTGATCTGTTTGTCATGATTTGGGGATAATCACTGTACAGTTTCCATGCAGGAATATTAGAGACAAAAGTAATACTTATGTTATTTTACCAGTACTGCAAACAGACATTCCAATATTTTGTGTTACTCTGCTGGGTAAAATTAAACTTCCCATCTCCTTTCACTTTATTAATATTTATTATTCAAATATTAATTGTTTGATTTCTCTAATACTATTTTTAATTTACAAGTAAGTTTTGAAACATATACAAGGTTTTACCACACACTATATTAAAGAGACCTTACTTACTTCATAAGGCTAGTGTTCTTTTTACTAAAAGGGCCAACGATCTTAAACATCAGTTCTACTACTCCATTCTTTCCCAAAGATACTGCATTTACAGCTGGAAGAGTTAAAAGCAATCCATTTTAAGATAATGTAATAAGAACAGTAAAAGAAAAAAAATCAATATACTCAACCTAAAATTGACACAAGTTAATTTTGAAGTACAAAAAATGCTTGTGCTTTAAGACATACAATGACAGGCAGACACACTACACATAATCAGCATGACAATCCAATCTTCATAGAACTTGAAAAAGAAAAAAACGTAATTACTACTATACAAATAAAATCATGTACTACTTCCAACACAGGCTTCTGCTTTCTTTGTTATTAAAATGCATTAAAAAAGAATTTTCTTAATTCAGTTTATCAAAACAACAGGCTTTCTAAAATTTCAAGTCTAATAAGTTCTATGACTTGCTACTATAATTTAGTATTAGGATAGACATGTATATTCACCAGGGTTTGAAAGCCAAGAGTCTGCTATAAAATTTAAAAATGCCAATTGGTATAAGCTTTTCTGAACTACATGTTATGAACATATGTTCTCAGAAAAAAATATTATAAAAGTAACCGATTTGAAAGAGAGAAAATGAAAAGAAATTATGCTAAGACCTATTAAGTTCAAGAAATATGCACTGAAAGTATACCTGGCTGAAGTCCAACAGCCACTGAAAATAGAAACTGCTGAAATAGGCACAGAAATTCAATTCCTGACTGAGTTTAGCAATATGTGCTCATGACAAAGCAGGAAGACAGCAGCTAAGACTTCAACATAACAAATGCTGTTATTAGTGTAGACTTTAGTATGTGAACCCCAGTTGCAATTTCATCATCATTAGCAGCAACATTACACCAGAACCTAAGAAAAGTTAGGACTTATTCTAACTGTACTCAAACTTTAAACAGTTCTACGCATCAGAATGTTATGAACTACTACTTTTTCTGTTTCTAAGGAGTGGGAAATATAGAAAGACAGAACTGATCTTAGCAGAAGCCAAATTGGAGACCCAGTTCAATATGCCATTTTCAGGATGAAGCAAGTTTTCAGCTATGCAATGTTAACTAATGTAACTATCTGTGTTAAACTCCTCAATTTGGAAGCACTTTACCTCATTATCAGTCAGCTCAACAGAAATAAAGCTTCCACATTTTGAAAGTATTAAGGCTTTATGAATTATATCTGCTCATGAGAATGTCCTGAAAACATAATCTCACAGATCATCAAATCAGTTCTCTGGGGCAAACATGGTATGTTTTCAATTTCTTGCACTTACTTAAGATGTTTAATGACCATTTTGAGCTCAAATGAAAAACTTAAGAGCATCTAAATGACAGTAGAAATACAGATCAACTTCCTACTGCCTGTCCGAACAATTAGGCTCTTGTGGAAGAATATTACCCCAATAGTAGAGCACTTGTACACAAGGATTAAGGAAAAGGTTAAATTAAGAAATATAATATTTCCTGTGTGAACCAAGTGTTAAATTAGCAATAAAGAAATAAAATAAAGAAAAAAAAAAAAAACATGAGCATGAATAATAAAGAGAATAATTATTTAATTCCAAATGCTTTCGCAAGCACAATGTTAGCATTTCTGGTTTACACCTTCACATATCAGCATTTATGCAAATTAGATAGCTCAAAATTCCACACATCCCATAAGATTGGTTAAAAATACCCAGCTTTTTCTAGAGTTTAAGCAATTTTAGGATATAAAAAGCAAGTTCTCAGAAAGAAAGTATTTTAAACACTCAATATTAAACAAGCATCCAAATCTAGTATTTTAACCTTATCTAGGTAAAAAACTTTATATTACATGGAGAATAAAATAATTATCTGCAATACTTACAGTTGGTTGAGTAAACTCTTAATACTTGAAGACATGGCAATATTAGCCTGTGGTTCTGCAAATTTTGCTTCACTAAATTCAATGGTATGTTTAGGACACCATTTATTCTTGCTTTCATGCCAATCTTTTTGTCTGATGTCAAAGAAATACAAGATCAATCACACTAATTTTGAAATTATTATTAAAAAATAGAAGTTAAATGACTGAATTTCTTCTAGTCATAGAAGTAGATATCAGCTCTGAGTATCTACTTTCCACCACTCTTCCCCCCATCTCACTCCTCCTTTTGCTCTCCTCTATCAATTCTGAATACATAGATGCTTACACAATAGGAAGAATTTTTTTTTTTAAGTTTCAATTATAAAACTTCAATGTATTATGCCATAATATCACCTTTTGGACCAATTTTTGCAAGAAGAGTATGAAGAAGCACCATTAATTCTTCATTTGGTGGAGAGTCTTTGCTGGCAGTCAAAAGCAGCTGTAGTAAGATCTGTGTCCCTCCTTTGGTAACCAAGACACTTGCTCTCCGACCGCCACCTAGAAATTAAAATTGAGCTGATATCTCTAAAGCCAAAGAACAATGAAATATCTAAGCTACAGTTATCATAGTCTTTAGAACAGCAATATTTTAATATTTTTTTCATATGTGACTGCACTATGCAAGGACATGCTGGACTTAAACTTATTGCAATATAACTTATTTGTGTAGAATTATTTGCAAGGTGACTTCAGTCTTTATGTTCTTTTAATTCTGCATATCAGTCTGCCTTAGCAAATGCCAAAAACCAAAAAAACAAAACAATAATAATAAAAAGCCTCACCAAAAACCCAAACCTAATAAAAAAATAACCAACCAAAACAAACAAAAAAATGCCTGAAGAATAATGTACAAATATAATCATATATGACTCCTTAAGGAAAACTTACCAACTGAGATTACCTCAATGAGAATATTCAATATATTTAGAATAGTTTGAGGATCTTTTGTATTCTGCAACAAAAAAGACAGCGATGTTTGCCTAATGTAGCAGTCTATTACAATGGTTTAGATACTTAAAGCTAGGAGAAATTGCCACCACCAAATCAAGTAGAATTTAGGATGCATAACCACCCAGCTAAACATCCCACTGTGCACCTGAATTAACTACAAAACCTAATAAAATCTACTTTGTAGTATGACACAACAATTAGAACTGATAGGTGACAAGAAATTCATAAGCAGTATCTAATAAAGACAGTATCTAATCATTACAGACCAACACCACAAGTTTTGGAGACTCTAAAGAATAATACAACACATTTCATAACAAAAAGCCCAACGATAAAATGCAAAACTTACTATGCACCCATAACCACAGAGATGAAAAGATTTTACCTCTAGGGTTGCCAGGATAATTTCTATTCCAGTGGAGCCCTTAGAAGTCATCTCCTTCCTGGTTTTTTCTGTCAGTGACAAAAAGAATAATACTAGCTTGCAGAAATAAAATATGTGATCATCTACAAAATTATCAGAATATTTACACTGCAAATAATAAAACCTATTAAAAACCATATAAAACTAAATAAAAAACTTAAGCAATTCTAAAACTCATTTTTGTTTTCACTTGTTGAACAATCTTGTCATGTCCTAGAAAAAAAAGGCTGTAAAGAAAAAAAATCAGTAAGAAAGCTTTCTTCCAGATACTTCTACTTCTCATAGATATACATACATACACACATACATATATCAAGTGAATTATTACTTAAATTACAACTGTTTGACAATAAAAAATTAACTTGGCGTAACCAATACTATACCAGATAGCATTAAACGTGGACTTAAACAGATGCTTTCAACAGTGAAAAAACCAGATGGATAGTCAAGTTCACTAAACAAAAACAGAAATTCAAGTCCAGCAAGGAAGATACACAATAAGGAAGACTCAAAAGGGAAACTACTAAACCCACAAAACTGAGATAATTACCTTGACTCTGAACCAGATGAAGGATCTTAGAGGTAACATATCTGGCATTGTCTGATTGTCCTAATACAGAGTCCAAATTGATCTTCTCCAACTGTGACAGCAGGGACATAGTCCGAGAATTGGCAGAAACACTACAAGAAGGATTTTTTACTTTTTTTTTTTTCCTAGATCAGAGAAAGAAAACCACTAACAACAGAAACTCCATCTCAGAGTAATGGCAGTGGCTAATTCACCTTCATATTTTATCTTGACTGTAAAACAGTCTTAATTCTCCTTAATTCTGGCAAATTTACAGATTTTGCAAAGCCTGAATTGCAGCAGATCAATTATATGTAACAGCATATGTAAGAGCAACTGTGAACAGAGAAATCAGATGCACCAAGTAAAATGCAGATATAGGTACAGATGTTGTTCATCTATGCCACTTAGAGTAACTTCTATTTAATAATTCGCATTAAGTGACAGGATACTGTATCAAACCTGCCATTCAAGGGAAAACTAGCTACAAACAATCCCAAAGACTGTCTCACAGGCTGGCATTTTGAAGTGGGAGAAAAGACTGTCTGTCATTCATGAAATGAGCAAACCAGCACCCACCAGCTGAAGAAAAAGAACACCATTTTGAACGAGAAAGCTTTGGAACGTTTCCAAAGTTATCATCAGGGTTTGGATTCATTTTGAACACAAGAGTATTTTGGCCTGCCAACAAAAAAATTGCCTTGAAAATGTATTTTAATAGAAGACACAATTTCAAACCAGGCATTCATATAGACAGGTAATTACAAGGAAAGAATGACTGTAAATATTTATAGTATTCTAAACAGAGTCAGCCTAGAAACTGTTTATTTGCTCTCTAGTTTAACATCATAACAATTATTCAGAATAGAGATCCACATTCCTACATGAAAGTAATTTTTAGACAAATGTTTAACATTTCAATTATAGTCATGCAATTAACTACAAGAAATTATGACTTCCAAGAATTAACTACATTGACTTTTCACTTCTGTAACATTAGGCTCCCACAATAATCAACAATAATTCATTTTACACTGACACTGTTCTGACTCCCTACAATAAAACTGAAGTCTACAACATTGCTTTATAAATACTGTCAGTTTTGTTTAAAACAATGAGGAATTGTTACTCCCTGATTTGTATTTTACATCAGTGTAAAGGTTTCACACTTACAGTTAACTCGACTAAAATGTTAAAATCAAGGGAGTAAGGTAGCCAAGGGCAAAGGTTATACTGCCGAGAAAGCAAATTGATATAAGAGCTGCTGAGGAAACTCCTTTCACCACTTTCACTTTTCCATATTGACATCTAAATGAGAAAAATAGCCAAAATCTATTTCAGACTACAGAGGATACTTACAAGCTGCTAACAACAGGAATAAGAAATGGTTATATTAACTACAGACTCAAATCAAGGCCATTTTATATTGTGAAGTAAGCATATCATCTTCTCAGTTATTTGCTAGACTTTGATTTCAGAGTATTTCTTTAACCTAAAATAAATCTGTCTTGGGTGCTGAAACACTAATTTCCTTGTCTAAGTAAAGCATAATCACTCCAATACTTTCTCATCATCCAAAAGCAGGCTTAGTATAAAGGTATTTTTATTTGCGTAAGCTTTGTTTTGTGTATTTCTCCTCCTCCGTTTATCCATTTGAAATGCTCCAAAATTAACCCAAGATTTTAATGAAATCCATAAGCTCTGTTGATCCAGTATACAAACTGACAAACTTACACAAGGTGTTATCTTCACCAGCTCCACAGTCAAAACAAGTAAGAGTCCCGCCAAACAACGCATAAGCCAACGTGTATGAGAACTGCTGCTTCAACTTTCATTATGTGTGTGTATATGTATAATTTCCATTGTAGTATATCACTGGTCTTACCATGAAATAAATGTAGTTTGAAAGCTGAAAACAAGTCAAGAAAGCAAAGCCGATCCATAGAAATAATAAAGAATAAATTAAAAAAAAAATGGGCAAAAAAATTTTTTGCAAAGACAAAACTCACGTGCAGGCATTAGAATGTCAAAGCAAATCTCATTTTTGACTGCTACAGCCTGCAAAATTCAAGCAACACTGGTGCCTCTAAGCAATTTACCATGTACAGGAAGTTAGCATCTAACATAATTTCTCCATACTTACTAAAAGCTTTAAGAGGTTTAGGTAGGGTTCATTACTGGGTGGTATAACAATTTAAGTTTTAAGATTTAGAGTTACAATCTCCGCCTGGGGACAGAGCTCCTATCAAGAGCAGTAAGCACTTATTGCAGCAGAGATATCTTTAGAATGGTTTTCAGCTATTTGTCCTGCACAAAGTCTTCCAATATAAATATAGCCAAATAAACTTCATGTCTTCACCATACCCAATCAAGCATCCTTGAAACTGGCATCAGCCAATGCTGAAATATATATTAAAGTCTTGATATCCACTTAGTTATGACTGACTTTTCATCTTAAACTAAGATTTGTACTCTTATTTATTAATATTCTACACTAATATACATAGCAGTTGTAATACTGTGACAGTTTTCAATGTCTGCACAGTAAATCAAAAAGACTGTAGGACAGGAATTATGGCAGCCAGCCAGACATACAGGAGTAGAATCAGTAATACTACTGTGACAACCCATTTGACCTAAGAACAAAATGAAAGCCTAATTTTTAATGAGACTCTTTCTCATATCTGTAATGCAAATACATGTGTTTTGATCAACAAACCATTCAGGATCCAAATCTAGAAGACAGTTCTCCAAATCAGAGGCACCATGGAATCCAATATTTTTAAGAGCAAAAAACCAGTCAGACCGGCACAATAAAAACTGTCTTGTCAGAGCTATGTTTTCTCTCAAGCTGCTGACATTGCAGAACCTCGCATGAATACCCTGAAGACTGTGTCCTGACTTTCATGGTGACCTGACAGTGACAGACAAAGCAGGAGCCAAAGACTCAGGAGGAAGAGCCAAGACTTTCCTGCGTTTAGACTGTGAGGGTATAAAAGCCCAGGGGTTCCTTCGCTCAAGGTCCCTCCTTGGAGGTATCAGCTTGAGCTGTTTCTGTGCTTTTACACCATGAATAAATTGCTTTGGGGAACAAGACATCTGAGACTCTGCCATGGGAAACCTGGGGTCAAATTGGTATGCAGGCAGTGTAGACCAGTCACAAGAATTTTGACTGGAGTATCCAATATACACTGGAGTCATCATCCATCGAATTAGAAGAGCACTAACTAGGATTGCAACTCAGTCAAAAGCCACTATCAGAAGGAATGTGATGACTCAAACGGATCTCACACACCAACATGCAGGCTATCCAGGTCTCCAGCTGCCATGAGTGCCTGGGTTTGTCACTGATGAGGAGGGCAGCAGAGACAAGATGAAACTATTTTCCCCACAATATGAATAACCCTTTTTGTTACTAGAAGTCGCATTTTTCACCCCACTCATTCTAAATCCTTCTCACAAGAGCACTCTGTAGTCACTGAGAGTTACATACAGTCTCTATAATCTTTAGTTATTAAAAAATCCTGACTAAGAAGCACCAGAAGAAACTTCATAACACCATAAAAACTATTCTCTTCAGAGTACGATAAACACCACAGCTGCTCTTCATGGCATACATATGCCAAACCAGCCCTTAACGACCTACAAAAATGATGATTCAATAACCAAAGGCAACTTCATTCTAACGCTTTTTATCCCTTCATTTGAAAGTTTTTCTCCCTGAAGTTTAATCTTAATATTTCTGGCACTTCTTACTACAAATGTGACTGTCCTTTACCTGTTCCAGTCATATACCTCTCTAAGCACAGTATCTTGCACATATTTCCATCAAATGTTCTTGAACACTTTCTGCATTTCACGAGAGTATTTTGAAATTATTTGGTCCTGCAGTAGTTTTACAGATCTTTCCAGCTTCAAGGTGTCTGCAATTTTAACAAGAATTTCCTTCTGTTACAGATCATTAGTCAAAACCCAGAGTATTTCCAACCATTAGCTGTAAGCAGAAAGAGAAAGAAAGAGCACGTGCAGAAATAAACTGTGCACTGTTTCCTTCTGACAGCCATCAACTACCACTAGTCTAGTAGCCAGTCAGTGTTTTATTCTGTCCAAAATCAACCAATAATTATTCTTCTGGGATGGATTTAGACTTTCTTTAAGTGTCTTGTGGTAAAAGTTTACCAGTTTTATTTGATCCTGTACAGTTCATGTCTCCATAGGCAGGAAACTCTTTCTTCATCCCACATTGAAATGCTGCAGCTCAAAATGCCCCTCACACCACCACTTAGCTTGCAGAAGGGAAGCATTGAACACCCTTGCCATCATTTCAACTGCTGCCAAGGCTTACAGCATTACTCGAGGTAGCCAGAGAGCTTTGTGGATTTCCTCCTCTGGTTAGGAAAGCTACAAGTAGATGTGGAGGATGCATTCCCAGACAGTGAGAACAGAGGACTTCAGTGGCTCACATTTGAAAAAGAATTCCCTCAACAAGAAAACATTTCCCTCCCTCACTGCAGGGACATTTCTTCCACTCCCAAAAGGTTTAAGCATTCTAACTCTGATTATGAAGAAGTACTAGACTCTCCATTACACAACTCTCCATTACTCACTGTATGCCACTTTCACTATGTAAATGCTAGAACACATCATCATAGCTTTCTGGTTGTCTACTCACAATGAGAAAGATAACTCTAATGGCTGCCAAGGCAGCTTATAAAAAGTCCCTTATCTTAGCATGGTTTTCAGCTATTCATCTTGCAAGAAGCCTTACAAAATATAGTAGTCAAATGAAGGATGCCAACACTTTCCCAACTGTACCTACTTCCTCTGAAACTGCTGTTTGCAGTCAGCCAGCACAATGATGCATAAGGGAATTTCTTCTTCCCCCACAGCAAACGGGTCCTCTGTATTTTGGTATGTTCCAGTGAGCCTTTAAAAACCTATTTTAAAATAGGCAGGCTTTTCATGAGTTTGTTCTGATTTTATTCCAATGCAGATAATTTCAAACTATTTTTTTTCTCAACCACTTCCACAGTTACCAAATAATCTTTAGAGAGCTAATACTTCTTATTAGTTCAGAGCTATCTCTGTAAACAGAGTCACCATAACTTATTGAAGATTTAGGGAACAACTGTTTTGAATTGCAGAGATGAAAACGTTTATTTTATCTCTATAACTAAAGAAGAATAAATGGCACTTAAGTGGCCACTCTGCAAAAACTTAATATTCTTTGTGATAGTATCTTTCATGTATTATAATTTGTAGTATTTTCAAGAATACTCATTGCTAACAGAGAGTTTGCTTTCCTTATCATAATGCCTAAGGAGCTAATATACTATAAGGAGAAAACGTAATTGTTTCTTTACTATTTCTTTTGACCCACCCCTAACACAAACAGGAACAACCAGTCTCTGATACCAAGCCATTCCACTTCTAGTCAGCAAAAGCAAGGACGATACTACACACAAGAATTTAAATTCAAATTTTAAATAGATTTCAAGACACAAAACCAATGCACAGTAGAGCAGGTTCTTCATGCAAATTCACCCACTCACTTAGAAAATAATGGGTACTTCAGAGAACTAAGACTGAAGCCAAAATTCCATGTTTTGCTGCCTGTACATATTTTTTTAATCTGATTAGATCATTTGACTTAACAAGGTGGTATAACCTATGCTATCTTAAGAAAAAGACTGAAAGCCTTTCAATAGTTTCCTGATGCTTAGCAGCCTTCCAGAAACAATCTCATAAACTTTTCAAATACTTGCTAAAACAAGTTAACATGAAAATAATAAACACAATTTTTCAACTCAACAATTCCGCTCTTGTTTGTTCTAGCTATGTGTTGGATTGCAGGATTGTTGCAGAATGACACACATCTTATGATAAAATCATGGCTTCTTACACAGTATTATAAACTTGTTCTTTAATTCCTTCAGCAGAGATCATTTTATGCTTTGCCAATATGTGCAGTGAAATTATTAATGTATTTTTCAATTAAATTTAATGTATACTTTATATTTGAACATATCTAACAGTAACTGAAAATTTAAATTTAGCAAGTTATTTATTAATTAAGCTACTTCATGCTATCAATATTGATTTCTTCAGTGTTTCAGGACATCAACTTACACGGTCTTACCAGGGGCCCATAATAATGGAAGTTTCTCCAACACTAGTCTCAGCTTCATATATTTTATTTATCTTATTATTAAGATAAAGACTGTTTTTTCACAGATCTCAAATAGCTTCATGTTGAGAGGTCACTATAGTTTTTGCAAATTTACCTTTTTTCAGATGATGTTTTTACTTTGTTCATATCGAAAGATGATTCTTCAAATTGCCATCTCTGATAACCTGGAAGATATTAAACAACTACATATTGTCAATATCTTTTGTTCTTTAATGATGAAATGCTACCACCATACTGAATGTCTCTACACTAAAAATGCTAAAGAAGTTAATTCACATTAATTGCATTTCTCCACACTGTCACAAGCTCTTCTCTCTTCAAACTATTTGATCCAGTTTTTAAAATAAATTATTGCATTTTAAGTATGGAGTATGATTCTGCATTATAATTCAGTTTTACCAAAGCTCAGAAAGTCTGATTATAATAGAACAGAAATTTGTATAAGTCATTTATTAGACATTATTTTCCTGTCCATGATGGAATTTTATCAAGTAAAGTTTTTGCTGAAGCCAGTAAATACACTTTTTTAAACTTATTTGACAATGTTATAAGATGCCACAACATACTTATTTCTGACTACCATTTCATGTATCTATAGAGTAACTAAGACTAGAGCAAGACCTGAATATATTTCCTGGACAGAAACCATATCATGCTAAGAACTCAATTTTCCTATCCATTTAAGGACATAGTGTCCTCAGGGCACAACACTTCCTCAAATGGTGCCTCCAAGGTTGCGGTCTACAGGACCATTAATTGAACCTCCGTACCCATTTGAGATCTAGTAAGAATGACAAATACTCCCACTGTGACAAAAAATAGTATCCTCCAAGAGCACGGTTGTTAGTTTAAAGGTAGAAGATAGAGCAAAGGGGAAAATGGATGTTCAAAGATATGGGTGCTGAGAATGAATATGATAAAGCACTTTCCTTTTGGGAAATGCAGGCAATAAATTCAGCCAACTACACACACAGAGCTGCCCCCCATCCCCTTCTCCCCAAAGAAATGTGTAAAACCTCTCAAAAATCCTTGTTGTTCAGCATCTAAAGTAATCAGATTTTTATTACTGGTAAGTTCCATGCTGCAATTGCTAAAAGCCTAAAGCAGATGAAGTAAGAAGCAAGCTTATTTCCAGACTTACCTGAAAGCAGAATCTTTTCCCGGCAGCCAGGAAGCAAATGCTTAGCTTTTCACCAGAATTCCAGCTTGACTCAAGTTAACAGGTGTCCTAGGTTTCTCCAAGTACCCTTCAAGTGTAAAGTATCTTGAAATCCTTTAAAGAAAATAAATAGTTACAAGACAATAGCTGTGCCCACCACAATACACACAATTTCATGAATTATAAAGTCTGGACTATTTGAACCAGGTTGCAGGTCTTACTGGGGGGAAAATATTAGACTCTTGAATGCAAGTAGGTCTGTTTTGCTTGCAGCGTTGACCCGCTGTCATACAGATGATGAACGGTCTGCCAGTGCCAAGACTGTCTATATATTATAGTGTACTGAACTGCTGTACAAGTGCAGCCAGCTACTGAGCTGAACTATCTTGAACTGCAAGATCTTAATTTGTTTGTCAAATTCACCACAAAGTATTTAATAAGTGCTAAAGTGCTTACTAATACTCCAGGTCAAAGGGAAAAGTCGAGCAGATAAGAAAAAGTACAAGAACTTCTGAAAAAAACCAAACCAAAACAAAAACCCCCAAAAACAACCACCAGGGAGAAGGAGTAGGGAAAAAATGAAAAGAGATAGAAATGCACACAGTAGCAATCCAGAGAGTTGTGGTGAAACATTTATGCATACTAAAGTAAAAAAGTTTCTCTAACATTTTACCAGGTAATGCAAAAAAGCAACTTCCAAACCAATTTAAAACTTTTAATATTATCCTTACTTTGAATAAAGGATTGATAGAAAGGTAAAGGCACAAGGTGAATGAGTCTCAATTTAAACATACATTTTAAATTTAATACCACTTGCCTGCGAGTGGTAGTCGAGCAGAGGATAAACTAGTATCAGTTCTGCTTTTAAAGGAACAACAACAATAACTGAATAAAAGCACCTCAAGTTGAAGGGGAGCAGATGAGAGAAAGGAGTGTTGACTAGTTAAAACTCCAAGCTAGTATACGCTCGATTCTCTGCAATCTCCCTCTACCTTTCCACATTGCCTGTGAATCCTCTCACCTACACAGCAGAAACAGGCAGCGTCTTCCTGGGAAATTTTTCCAGAGATGTGAAGTTCCAAATCAGAAAGTTGCACTCACTGTAATAGTGCTACCAACAGTACAACAAATTAAATGGACTGCAAGAAATTATATATAATTTTCACCTCTTCCTTTCTCTTCAGAAAAGCACATAATTGTCTCACTCCAGGGTCAATTCGGTGTCACTGAGCCACTCACTCACCCTCTTGCTGATCCACCTTTTCAAAGCTATGAAATTTTGACACTGGCAAGGTTCATGCAAAAGGGAAGAGTATACCACCTCCAACAGTTACCTTTCATATAAAGTTTTCACATTTGCCAAAATGTAACAGAATAACATGGAACACAGTCTCCTACTTCTTGGATAAATATTCTAACCACAAAACTACTGCACAAAATGGCAAGCACTATCACAAAGCAATTTTCTTTTGCTCAAAATAATGGCTAAAGAAACAAACTTGTACGATTTCATTCAGACCTCATATTTGGACATGACTATTAGGCATTGCTGTGAGTGCCTGTTAGACTACAGAGGACTTGTAAGGACACCATCTTCCTGAACACTAAGTTGACATACCTGTATTAGACGAACACCAAGATGCTCAGCCTCTTCAAGGCAGTAATAATTCTGGTCAGACATTGTAACAGGATTCAGAGGAAATTTTACTGATGTAAGTTCTGGGGCTCTCAACATAACTAGGATGTGGACTTCCTGAAGCAAGTCCAGAGCAGGGCAATAAAAATGACTGGGGTGATGGAACAACTCTCCTATGAAGACAAGCTACATGAATTGGGACTGTTCAGCCTGAAGATGAAAAGGCTCTGGGGAGACTTTAGAGTAGCTTTCCAGTACCTAGAGGTGGCCTCCAAAAAAGCTGGAAAGGGATTTTTTACAAGGGCATGTAGTGATAGGACAAGAAACAATAACTTTAAACTGTAAGATGGAAAGTTTAAGTTAGATGTTAGGAAGAAATTCTTTACTGTGAGGGGGTTCCCCCAGTCCAGTGCAGATTAAACCAGAAGCAAAGTGACCTTTCATAGTATCTCATTTCACATACCCTAAAGTCTCAGAAGCTGTTCATAGGTCAAAAACATTCTTTTTCAAGGTACTTGTGAGTCTGTTTAAACAAAACCATATAAAAAGACTTCCGTACTCTTCATTCTGTAGGCTATCTTAATTCCAAAATACTACTTATGGTTCACATTTTTAAACATAGCAGTAAATTATTTGCAGGAACTATTTACCTAAGTAAATTTACACTTGCAGGAATAGGGTCTGTGTTCAAAATTCAGAATAAGCAGCAACATGTGACAGCAACAGCACTGTCTCAGTACCAAAAGCAACCTACCCAAAAAGCTTGTAAAGAGCAAAACACTGTGACAACCAGTATTCTAAATATGGCAAATCCATACGAATACCCCACACAATATGGAAAACAGCAGTATGCTACTTGACATTATACAAAAAAACATTCACCAGGACAGCAGAATGCTCATCCTTTGACAGCAGTAAGAACTGGCCACTGCTACTGATACAGCAGTGCTGCCTCCACCATCTCATCCTCCTGTACCTTAAGGAGGACTGGCCCTTTGCAAAAGGCTTAGCAATTATACCTTAAGTAGTGTCTCCGGTTATTTAATCTTTTACTCTTTCACACATGACATATTGTTTTCCAGTTCAGCATCCCAAGTGACAACTTCCACAAGTATCTTTTTAAAAAACTGGTCATTTGTGCTTTTTTTCAGGAAAAGCAGTTCTATTTTAAAGCCATACAAACCAGCAAGGTTATCAGATATGAAAAATTTCCCTAATAAAAACATGAGACCTAATGTTGGATAAAAAAAATCTCACAGGCTATTTGGAGATGCCAGAGTTATTTATACAAACTGCTTTGAATCCTGAAAGCTTAATCCACAGCACAATACATACATGCACAGCACAATACATACATGTTTTGCTTACCTGTAAACCAACTTAAAATTCTAGTGATTGAAAACCTGGGGAAACCCTTCAAGCTTTACAACTAAGTTTCGAGTTGGTAAACACTACATCATACTCAACCATATACATAAATAATTATAACTGATGTGGTAGTGAAAATTTGTTTTCTGAAGTTGACTATTCCTAGCCCAGTTCTTAAATCTTCTTCTACAAGCACTGGAAAACAAAAACACAGACTTCCTACCCCATGACAAATCTTACTTTGTGGAAGTTTCATAGGAATTAAAGTCCTAGTCAATAGTCCAGAGGGAGACAATTTTCAGAACCAGCTATTTCTTTAATTAAATTCTAAAATAGGATGGAATGGCTTTGAATACACACTAAACATTATTGCTTCCTAATACTTTAACATGCAGCCATAAAAAAAACTTTTAGTGCCATCAAAACATTGTAATATCCCTAAAGGTACATTAGAAGTATTTCTTCTATGAAAAGAATTTTGTTCAAGATAGTAGAAAAACTAGAGATACTTTTCCTCCAGATGTAATTGTAATTTATGTGGAAAGGGTAGAAATAGTCCTTTATCTAACGACTAAATCTACCCAACACTTCTAAGTAGAAAAAAAAAATCTGAAGTTTTTGGTCAAAGAGAGACTAATTTTCAAATCCAAAACAAAATGAAAAGACTAACAACCTTTACTAGTCAAAGAAAAATACTTCTGAAAAATCAGCTATGCCTTTCCCTTGTACCATTTGCTATAAATATTTATAGTAGGGAACAAAAAAGTCAGCTGATTAGCTCACCCATTGCTGCATTATAGCAAACTGCTGACTTTTTGATGTGACTAGGTAAACTGCAACATATAATCAGACATTCAAAACGACATAAATAAAGCTTCACAGAAGACTGAAGCACCAAAGTCCTTTACAGCAGCTTGCCAACTATGTCATGCAGCCGTTACCACCAGTCCACTTAACTGTAAAAAGAAGGCCTGACACATGTAGCCAAAAAAGCTGTAAATACCCAATAATGATTATGAAAGAAAGAAAAGCATTGGCCAGGAAAAGGCAAGATAAAAAACAGTACTTCATTTCTTGCCTGGAAAGAAGCTCCTAGAAAGTTACTGCATTGCAAGCATAGGATTACTTCAAGATATGAGAAACTTGCTATCACCAGGGTCACATGGTATCACATTCAAAGCTGACATGATTTAAGCTGAAAGAAACACTGCAGAAGTCAGCTACTTCTTACTCCACTAGCATAACCCTTTCATCAGGTAGAAGGTGAATGGCACAGGGAGGGAGAAGGGAACAATAAAAATAGCCAGAAGGAAAAGGACAACCATAGCAGAAACTAAGCATTTCCCTACACCAGAAACTGAACTGGAAACCTTGTAACTTTAGCCAGCTCTTGGAAATGCTCCATTAATACCGTGGAAAATGTCAGAGGTGCTTTCCAGCACCTAACCCGGTGATTGCTCCTTTGGTTTACACTGTCTCGATGATTAAGGTCTGACTGTAAAAAAATCAGCCCAAACATCTAAACTTGCTAGTTCACTAGATGAGTTAAAGCAAACCCTCAATCCTGGTTTTAATCCAGATGAAAAAAAAGAAGAAAAGAAAAAAAAAATCCAGGGCTTTATGTTGCAGATTTATCTATTCAAATACACTTCAAGCCCTTCAACCTCATCAGTGCACAGAAACACAATCACCACAACCCAACTCTCAGCAACTGTTCTCATTTTCAAATCTTAACTTTTATCGTTTTGCTTATGAATTATACTTGGAGCGGGGACCCCTGGTGGTCTAGTGGTTAGGATGCGGCGCTGTCACCGCGTGGCCCGGGTTTGATTCCCAGTCAGGGATACTCCCCCGGGCAGATGGAGCTCGTCAGCCCTGTCAGGCCATCCATCTAAGAGAAGGTCACTCTAAACAAACCTACGTCCTGAGGACCTCACTGCCATTGTCCAAGCTCGCTTGGCCCCGGCAGATGAACCTTAGGATTAAAGGGTGGGCTCAGTTCAGCGCAGGCTGTGTCTCACCTAAAAAATCCATTGCGCAGGCTCAAAAGGTAAAAGACCTTTCCCAAAATCTTCGTTTGCAAGGACTGGCCATACCTACCTACCTATACTTGGAGCAATTAAAACAGTATTGCCTACCTCCAGTATGCAAAAGCCTGGACATTCTGCTTCTCATAAATTTTAAGTTGTACAGAAGTTGTAGTGAAAACGTATATGTGCCTTGTAATGCATTGAATGTTTTAGGACTGTCACCTTTGTGGCTGTTGCAAATAAGAGGGTGGTCCCCTCCTCCTCACTACTTCCAGTCTTTCTACGGTTAACTGTTACAAAACTGTATTTTCAAATGTAAACCATGCTGAATCATCCATGTATCCAGGCCACACACTGGACAGTTCATAATCTTCTTGACACTTAGCACAGGATATTGGACAGTTAAGCTGTGGATAGTGGCAGGACCTGAAAACATACCCAGAGACACAATCCCGTTATAAATCCCTCCTACGCACTCACACAAGCAGCTGCGCTGTTCAGCACTCTCACACCCACTCCAAGAAAATTGACTTCCCCCCTATGTTGTTTAAGAAGTTTCAACATTTCAGTTGCTGCAGTTATATTCCAGAGCCAGGGTGACTCAAGCAGCATTCAGTTCTTTCAGACATTAGCAATTCGTATCATAGGAGCAATATCCTAAGAGCACGCAGCTCACAGATACAGGAATTAAAGGAGATGTTTCAAATAACATACTGAGAGCCAAAAAACAGGTGATCCCCAGCTATGTCTAGCAGAATATCATCAAAAATTTTAAAGACTGTGAAGTCTCTAATCATAAGACACTGCTGACAAGCTGTTGAGTGACAAGCTGAACATCTTTCCTAAACTAAAACCTAAAAATGAGGTGAAATAGCAATTTCCTTCTGTAAGCCAAGAGGACTTCAGAGAGCCCTTCTCCTGATTTCTTCCCTTTTAATTGTAGCTTCTAACACATAATTTCAGTGAATTTGCTCCCAGCAGCAGTAAGCTAACCAATATAAATCTTCTACCAAGAAACCTGAATATTTTTCAAGTTCAAAAGCTTGTATTTAGAAGACGATCTGTGAACTTCTTGAACATGAAATCTAAAATATGAGCACTGTCATCTCCAACACCTAAACTGAAAGTTAAGCCTGAGATCAGGTATCATTTCACACATAGATCAAGTGCCACTTCACACACCAAGACTACTCCTTGGTTTAGTATCATTTCCTCGCTTTCTGAAAAAGTAAAAATACCTTTTTTGAAGCTTAAAATAAAAAAAGTACTTCCCTTAATTTATGCTGGCATAAAAAAAATTCCCAGTAGTGAACTGAAACATCAGAAACTATGTGTTAAAATTATTTTGATGGTAAATAATGGTAAATAATCTCCATAAAAAGACATTGTCTTGCCACTCTTCCACCTAAGAAATAAAAAGTATTCCAACACAGACACGCAGCATGAGATATAATTTCCAGAAAAACTCTTTGGTCTCCAAGTATGATTTCACTGAAGGATTAACCAGAAGGTGGGGCTATCCCACTAGCAACATCCAGTCACCCAGCATTATACAAAATACACACTGAAAGCTACAAGCAAAACAAGGAAGATTTTCAAGAAATATAATCTATAAAGGTAGTGCACACATGTACTTCTCTAAAGGAACAACATTTGTGGGAATACTCGTTGGAGAGCCAATTCCCTCATGACAGAAGAATAAACACACAAAAATCAACATTCATACCACAAGACTATACAGAAGTTTCATAGTGTTTTTACACTATACAGGTACACAGAGGAATTCAATCTCTGCCTGTACATACTATAGAAAGCCTACCGCTCTAAGTATCTGTAATAACAGTTCATTCAGCTCAGGATTCCTAAACATCTGACAAAGCTCAGTGCCTGAAAACAGTTTACACTCAAGAAATACACCACATCACCCCCTGATATGCAACCTATTTCTCAAACCTTCTCTATCGAGTATTTGAACTGACACCTAGAGAAAAATACGTGATATGACAGATTTCCATCACTGCAAGAGGAGGCAAGAAAAGGAGGGGGCAGAGGGGGAAGAAAAACCAAACCCTAAATATTAACAAACCCCTACACACGGAGCGTTAAGTTAGGCAGACGTTGGGTAGGCCAAGTCGCACGGTACATGAGGCAAGTGTTATTCCAACCGCCGTGTTTTCCATGCAATGCCTGCGCTGGGTTACCCCTCCGGCGGGACAGGGGGTACGGAGCCGCAGCCGGCAAGGCCGGGGGTCACCTGCTGCCTTTGCAGCAGCAGGACTGGCCGGCAGTGCCCCCCGTAGGCGCGGCGCGGAGGAAGCAGCTCGCCCCGCGGCCAGCGCCGGCCTCCGTGCGGCTCCACCCCCCGCCGCGGGCAGACCCGACCCCGCCGGGCCGGAAACCAGGCACCGCTCCTACCGTAGGGCCCGCGCCCATCTCCGCGGGTGGAAGCGCGCAACGCGCGGCCCAGGCGGCCCCGCGGCTCCCCAGCAGGTACGCGCCCGGCAGCCGCGGGGAGCCGGCACGGAGGAGCCCCGCCCCAGTCCCGGCTGCGGCGCCGGCCCTGCCCCGCTGCGGCCCGCTCCGCGCTGCCAGGGGCGATGCTCGGCCGCGGGGCTTCACGTTCGCGGTAGGCGGGGAACCCCTCACTCACCCCGCGGCGCTCAAGCGGGGGCGCCGTGCGGCGGCGGCTCCGCGCTGCGCCCCCGCCGTCCTCATGCGCGGCGGCAGGACCTGCCTGCACCGCAGCGCGTCACCGGCCCCGCCGCGCCCCGCCCGCGCGCAAGCGCCGCCACCGCCGCCGCGGGGGGGGGGGGGGGGGGGAGCGGTGCCCGGGCCGGCCCGGTGATGGGAGGCTCACGGCTGTATGATCAGCTGGACGAGTCGCGTGAATCAGCCGGGCCGGCCGCGCCCGCCGCCCCACACGCTCACGTCCGAGTTGTCCATACCGATATAAGATATACAGGTACCTAAGGGCGGGTGCCAAGAGGACGGAGCCAGGCTCTGCTCGGTGGTAGCAAGAAATTGGACAGGAGGCCACGGGCAGAAACTGATGCACAGGAAGTTCCACCTGAACATGAGGAAGAACTTCCTTACTGTGCAGCTGACCGAGAACTGGGAGGGATTGCCCAGAGAGGTTGTAGGGTCTCCCTCACTGGAGCCCGAGATTAGCTCAGTTGGTTAAACCATAGTGCCAATAAGGCCAAGGTCAAAAGTTTGATCCCAGTACAGGCTGTCCACTTAAGAGTTGAACTTGATGACCCTTGAAGGTCCCTTCCAACTCAGAATATTCTGTGATTCTGTGAGATACTCAAGAACTACCTCGATGCAATCCTGTGCCACATGCTCTGTGATAACCTTGCTTTAAGCAGGGAGATTGGACCTGATGACCCACTGTGGGTCCTTCCAGCTGGATGGATTCTGTGACTTTGGATTCCACAACTCCATTGGGTGCTTCTCCACAGCCCAACCTTCACCTGTTTTTTATGGCAGGTAAGTACCTGCAATCACAGTGAAACCAAGGAATCCCACTGCCCAGGACACTGAGGAATCATGGAAACAAGGAAGAAAACTCAGTGATTTGTAACAGTCAAAGGCTTCAATTCCCCACACACACA